TAACACAGAGCATACAGGCAAATTGAAAATGAGGTATCAGTTTTTTCCAGGTAACTTTTTATATTTTCATGTATTAGTATCAAGATATAGAACCTTCTAGAAACAAGTTTCTAGTAATAATGGAAGTATGTTTCTGTGAGAAGTGTAGTAACACACTACACTAAAAAAAATTAAGTTTCAAGAAGGCTAAACTTCAAAGATATTCCAAAGTCAGAGGCCATGCACATATAAGAAGCTGACTTTTAAGGTTCGTATTTGAGTTTTTAGAATTCAATTATTGATTTTTAGTTAGAAAATATATATTTAGGAAGAGCTATATTATTACTTAAAAAAAAAAAAAAGAAACTCAGCTAGGTGGTTAAAAGAAGCCTGTAATGACTCTGGTGACTCTGGAAACTTAAAGAGCATTGGTTCCCAACTATGGGTAATTTAGCGTCTAGGACAAATTTTGGCAATGTCTACAGACATTGTGGGTTGTCAAAACTGGTAAGAGAAAGGCTGCTGGCATTTTGTGGGTATAAGCCAAAGATACTGCTGAACATCCCATAGTGCACAGGACAGCCCCTCACCACAAAGAATATTTGACCCAAAATGACAGTAGTACTAAGGTCAAGAAAGCCTACTGTAGAATCTTTATTGGCCAAAGACATATGTAGTAAACCAGACAACCGCATTTAGTGAGGATATGTGCATTGGGGATTAAAACACACACACACACACACACACACACACACTCTCTCTCTCTCTCTCCCCCCCCCTTCTTCCCTCCCTCCCTTTCTCCCTCTCTCCCTGTTGTAAGATACCTTGTATATGATGTGTAGTAAATATTAGCCATCATAAGTACTATTATTTCATCTATTTTGAACAATAAGTGAGCCTTAGCATTTACCTTTCTCACTGCCTGGAAAACTCTTTCTTGAAATTAACAAATGAATGGATGGATGGATAGAAGGAAGGAAATGATAACCCCCTCAATTCAGGTGTCTGTTCAGATATTGATCCATCAGAAATGCTTCCCGTGATTACCCTATGTGATGTAGCATCCATACCACTCTCATATCTCCATCATCTCTCTCACCTATCCTGGACTTACTTTTCTTCATAGCATATATTATCACTATGTATTGTCTGTATGAGAACAGGGTATTTATTTTGTTAAGTGCTGTGTGCTTAGAGCTTACAGCAGGTGTTTAATGCACATATTTTGTATTAATAAATAAGTAACCAAAAAAAGCTGAGGCATTTGGATATCATTTTTAGGATAGACTATCATACATTAGAGACAGTATACTATTTATTCCAAAATGATCTCACCCACAGTAATGTAGCACAATATTCACATACTTAATACTGTTATCCATTATAAATTCTCTTGAGGTAGACATGAGTGTACTCTTAGGTATCAAGGACAAAAAAGTTTTTTGGCAGTGATGTGTCCTTAGATGATTCTAACATAAGTGGTGGTGCAACATCTATTGCTTTTGTAGTCTTGCTTTTCAGCAAATAAACATTATATAAAATATATCACACAGATATGTTAGTGATTTTATACATGTGTGACAATTAAATTAGAAAATAGGGGTCTCTGCAATCCAATTTTCCAAACGAATTTTTTTGCTTTGTTTTTGTTAGGTATATTGACTCGATATGTCTTAACCAGGCTTACCTTATAATAATCTCTTATCAAATTATCATCTTTTCCCCCTTTTTAAGGGAGATAACCCTAGAATTGAAAATCCTCTTTTGCCTCTATTCAAAAGGAGACTATATTATATGGGTGGACATTCAAGGTGGAGAATTTCATATTTAGTGTATTTTGTTTTTAAATTAATTGTTAATGAAATGGAAGGGTAAGACTTGATCACTGTTAAGGCTGTTTTTTTGTTGCCTAGAAATTACATTAGGACAACATGGTTTGTCCATAAACACACAGTCATAAGATGTCAGATGTGAGAGATTTGCCTTGGAGTAGGAAGTGTGTCCTCCTGGCACTGAGTTGGGGCTCAGCTGAGGATGAAGTATAAGTAGCCATTGTCTGACAGGCTGCTGTGTACAATTCAAATTGATATAAATTTAGTCAGTTCTTTTCCCCGGGACTGCCCCATTTAAGATTAAATTTTTTACTGGTATATGTGGGAGAGATGGTGATTTTGCTGTTTCAGTGGAACCATTTAATCAGTTTTAATGCTGTCCTGGGTAAAATAAAACTTAATCCTTTCTCTTTTAGAGCTTTTTTCTACCTTCAAAGCAAAAAACAAACAAACAAACAAAAAACAAACAGCTGTAAAGTAGCACTGTCTCTTCTAAACTCTGCTTTTATTAAATTTGCTTCAATAATCTTCCAGTCTTCTTCTGTGCTACATACTTAAACCATAAAATAAAAGTTGTACCCAAATGAAACTTTCAAGTTATTTTAATGAAGCTCTTGAAATATTCCAAACTTCAGAAGATTTTTTTCTCAGTTTATCTTTTAAATCCTAGAAAGTAGGTCAGTAGGAAATACCCTGCTTTAATTGGTTTAATTAGAAATGGAAAATTATATGACTAACTCAATTTGAAGTATAGATTTAAATAAGAAGAATTATACTGGGGTTAATATCACTTAAAAGTTTGGCTTAAATAATAGGCATTTAATCATAGCTTATAATTTCTTTGTTTTTTTGAAAACATTTCATACAGTAAAGAAGAGGCCTAACTATTGAAATATACCAATGTACAGGGAATATTTTTTCCATGAAACATAATATTTGACAAAGAAATCATTTTAAAACTGCATTTCTCAAATGATATGCCTAAGAGTATCATTGTACAGGTCCTTAATAGGTATGCCTTGGGGATATTCCTGTACTCAAGTAAGTTTAAGAGATACTGAAGTAAATTAGAAGTTGCCTGCACGATTTCTCAGAGGCTTTAATATTTTCTGAATTTCTAGGAAAGGGCTAAATAGAATACAGTAGTAAACCAACTTGTTTGCCCTAGATCACCATTTTTTAGGAAAATGTTCTGAGTACACAAATTTGATCTTCTTTAGGGTTTTATACCTTTGAAATGTTAAGTATGTTACAGTGATGATGTGATATCATTCACATATGTTGCTTAATCCCATTTCTTTGTTTCCAAGATATTTTCCCAATGTATACCCTAAGATAATATATCTAACACTATGCTCTGTAGCTCTCATTAACTGAAGTGGTGGTTTTCAAACGTGGCTGCACATAAGAAATACCTGGCCTGGGACATTCTACGTCAGTAGCAATGTCACTGCGCTCGAGATTCTGCACCTATTACAAAGCTCCCAGGTGACTCTTATACAGTCAACACTGTACCCTGTCAACTGGTACTTTGGAACTATTGTATGAAAAGCATGCATTTTTCTAGATGAGGGATTAGATTTTGGAATCAGATAGATTGTGGTCCTAGAATACATGGCTGACCATCCATTCTGGAGAAAACCGTAGCACTGACCTCCAGCGACCCAGTGAGGTGATATGATGGCACTGACCAATGTGGAACAGTTGCACAAATCCTTTAAGAAGAGTAGAATTTTGGGCTGGGGATGTGGCTCAAGCGGTAGCGTGCTTGCCTGGCATGTGCGGGGCTCTGGGTTTGATCCTCAGAACCACATAAAAATAAAATAAAGGTGTTGTGTCCACCGAAAACTAAAAATAAATATTAAAAAATTAAAAAAAAAGAAGAGTAGAATTTCTAAGCAGACTTTTGGTCCCTTTCCTAATGAGGAAATGCAGCATATGATTACCATTTGTTTTTATTTACTTTTGACTAAATCTTTAATAGATGCCATTTTATTTATAACTTAAAAGAATGCTAAATTATATTTACTTCTTATGCTAATATATTCACTCCCCTCTTGCTGATAGCAGATAGATATTTAACTTTAAAGAGCAAATAGGCCAAGATTTGATCTCATTTATGTTTGATTTGTGTTTCTTTGAAAACACCTTCCTAGAAATTCTCTGTTGCATCCTATTTTAAAAAGTTGGCAAGGAATAATCCCATATATAGAGGACAACTAATCTTAACATATCTTTTTTGAATAATGTTCTATTAGCAATATTATATGTAAGCCTCATTAAAAGTAGGAAACATTTGCCACTTTTAAAATTGCTCTATAACGTGTTACCAATGCAATAAGACATGAAACAGAATTGAGAGGTGATTATTGAAAGTTGGAGACTAAATTTTCACTACTTGTAAATAAAATTTTATGCATAAAAATCATATAATTTTTTTTTTAAAATAAAAACAACCTTTTTTCAACTGATTAGAGATGGAGCGGCAACCAAAATACATAGTGGTTTAATATATACAGTCTTATTATTTCTATGTATTAATTGATTGCTGAAATGAGAAAATTAAGTTTGAATTATCAAATTAGAGAATCATGAGAGAGCAGCATCATAAAAACTGAACCAACAAAGTTGTAAGAAGGGCCTAAAACCCATGGTAAATTGGTAAAGTGAACCCTGTACTTTACTCCTGATGGTCTAAAGATGTCTGATTTCCTTAGCAGAGTGAGCTAGTAAGGTGAAGGAAGTGGAAGCCAGTCTATGGTCTTTGAAGAGTGAATGTGATATAAGAGCCAAGACATTTATTTTGCTAGTAATGGAAGAGAGGTTTTGTTGTTGCTGCTATTTTTTGTCATTTGATTTCCCCATCCCTTAGTTATCTTCCTGTGAGACTAGGAATCCTCAAAGGAAAGATCTGTTTCCAAGAGCATTATAGTGCATATTACTGCCTTGCATGTGTGAAGCGCTTGTTGGCTTTGAATTTAATAGATGACTGTGAATGAAAGTTTGAAAACTGCTAGTGGGCAAAATATAGAGGACATTTTGGTGACTTCTCATGTATTGAACGAGGCCCCCTGCCTGAGACATGCTGTTCCTGTACCCACATAGTATTTGTGCTCTGCTCACCTCCCTGTCTCTGTCTTCATCAACTCAATACCTTATTCACCGGCCTCCCTTTGGGCTTTTTTACAGCTATGAAACCTACGTAGTCAAACAGCATGATGCTTCTCCTGTCAGCTGTGTGATGAGGAGGAGAGTTTGGCTTTGGAGCGCTGGGAACCTGAGCGATTGCTGAGGACTCAGAGCTCAGCCCTGACCACTAGAGAGCTCACAACACAATGAACAAATTGAATTTCCATAACAACAGAGTCATGCAAGACCGCAGGAGTGTGTGTATTTTCCTTCCTGATGATGAATCTCTAAACATCATCATAAATGTGAGTAGATCCATTTTAAGCAGTGTTTAAATATTGTGTTCCTACCACATTCATGTTATGACTTGGTTCAAGGTGTAATCAATGTAGAATGAGACCAGTAGTAATATGGCAGAACTGGGGTTTTAAATAATCTACACAGGAACAATCTTACATTATGACTTATGTGCAGATGTCTTCAAATTAGAGAATTTTCATAACTCTATTCAAAAACAAACACCATTTTAAAACTTTTATTGAAATATAATTTTTCTTGAAATATATAAAGTCTAACCAATTTTAAGGACTAGGTGTATGGGCTGTGCCTTTGGGCACTAAGTAATCGCTTATGACTTTGAGAGTTTGTGAGTTTGTCAGTCAGAGTCAACTTGTTTAGTTAACCTGGATTGAGGAATATAATACCATTTTTTTAACTCTAAAATCTGAGTTATAATTTACATACTGCAAAGTATAGAAATCTTAGTGTGCAGCTAAATGAATTTTTACTAGTGTATATAACCTTGTGACCACAACTCAGCTTGAGATATAAATTTTCAGCACCCTAGAAAGATCTTTTATGACCCTTCTAGTCAATAGCCTCTTTCTAAAGGGTAATAACTATTGCAGTCTCTATCACCAGAGAGTAGTTTTGCTTATTTCAACCTTCATGAAGTTAAAATTATGTGATATGTTCTCTATCTGGCTGCTTTCACTGAACATTTGACCTGTGAAATTCATCCATGCCATTTCATGTGATAGTAATTCCTTTTCATTGTTGTATAATATTCCGTAGTATGAGCAGACCCAATTTATTTATCCATCTACTGGTGATGGTTGTGGAGTTATTTTACGTTTTAGACTATTACAAATAAAACTTCTGTTAACATTTGATGAGTATGCACATACATACACATTTACTGGTTTATACCCAAGTGGATATGTGAATCATAGAGTTTATCAACATATGTGACCTTGATAGAGACTGTCAAACAGTCTTATGGTCAGTAGCATACCTAGCATTTTTCAGTCCCTCTCCCTATTATCCACTTTCATATCCTTTCATTTTCTTAATTGCATTCTGATGGAATTAAGGGGAAAAAATAGCCTTAATACAATGCCTTGAATTAGATTTTTTCATTTATACTACTTTATTTTTAACCCAATTGCTGTATAAAGGAATATTTCTAAATGTTATACTGAATATATATGGCATTTAAATAGCATCAATAAAAGGTTTAGATAGGAAAAGTTCTGCTTTATAGGCACATTTCTGGATTAGAATTTATCCTAAAAAAACAACAGTTTCTATATTTATTCATGTAACCTCATTTCTGCTCATAGGAATTGTCTGAGCATTAAACCTGCCTATTGGATTTTTATCATCTGTTAGGCAGAGTTTTTAGTGATGAACTGCATTCCTGCTCAGGATACTTAAGGTTATTTTGGATATACAAAGTGTTAGGCTATTATTTTTGTAGCATTTGGTTTTTAAAATTTAGTGAAAATTGGCAACATTTCAGTTTAGGTACTGGCAAAATAAATTCAAAATCTATTATACATGTGAATATGCTGTTTGAGTTCTTTTATACAGTTACATGAAATATGTTCTTTAGATTTTTAAAATATACATATTCTAGGACATGCAACATAAGTACTTACTAAACTTCTCTCACTTCCATGTCTGTCTTCTTATTCAATGGGATATATGTATGTGTGCTCATGTGTGTAAATCCACATACAGGATGTGGACTAAAGCTAACTAAAAATCCCATCAGGGGGTTAATTAACTGATTGGGTTAAGACTCTCATACTAACCGCAGTTAGGTGGAGAAGACCAATCTGACTTAGTGAGGAATACTAAGAGGAAAGTTTAATTTCTTCTCAAATTAATTAGTACTAGAATCTCAGCTACAGGAGATAGTTTTGGAGAACACACTGGAAGATAGCCAATCCATATGTTCCTATAGATCTGTGGTTTTAAAACTTGAATATACATCAGAATTATTTGGGGAGCTTGCTAAATTTTTAAACTATATGTTCTACTAATTGAAAATGCTGATGTAGAAAATTTATAATGTCCTTAAATAGGGGCTGTGGATTCTCTGAAATCTTAAACAGACAGGCAAAGACTTGTATCCCAGTGTCACCTAGTTTCTTTCACTCTCCAGAATTCCATTTACTAGATTGTACTTGTAGCATTGTATCAGTGGCCTGACCCTTTTAACAGTATATTATGCACAATATATTAAGCACCAAGTAAATGGTTATTGTTAGTAATAATATCATCATCAACATCATTATTGGGAGAAATGTTATAAGATTATTCATATTTTAACTCTAGTTTACTAGATTTGTGAATTTTGTACAAGTTGCTTAAGCTTATGTTTTTGTTAGCTTTTTGCTATTGGACTAAAATTCCTGACAAGAACAATTTAGGGGAGGAAGAGGGCTCATGGTTTCAGAGGTCTCAGTCCATAGAAGGCCAACTCCATGCTTTGGAGCTCCAGGAGAGGCAGAACATCATGGCAGAAGAGTGTGGTGGAGGTGACTTACATGTCAATCAGGAAGCAGAGAGAGAGACTCCAATTCACAGATACAAATGTACACCCCAAAGGACCTACCTTTTCCAGCCACACCCTGTCAGCCTTCAGCTCCCACTCAGTTAATCCCATCAGGAGATTAAGTAACTGATTGAGTTAAGACTCTCATAGCCCAGCCATTTCACTTCTAAGCCTTCTTGCATTGTCCCACACATGGACTTTTGGGGGATATCTCACTTTCAAACTGTAACAGCTTACTGTCTTACACATTTCCAAATTCAACTTGTCCAGTACCGGGCACATAGTAGGTACTCAGTTTGCATTGCCTTCCTTTCTGCCTGCCCTTTACAAAGAATAATCGAAGAGCAGTCTAATAGTGAAAAGAAGTGGATATGTTAAAACATCCAGACCTGAATTTAAAGCCCATATATGAATAACTTAGAAAGTAAATTGAGCCTCCTTCAGCCTTAACATCTTTACCTGTAAAATATGAATAATATCTGTGCTGTAGTGTAACTGTTAAGAATTTGGGGTTAACACATAGCATTGTTGCTGGTGCATAGAAAGCAGCTGCTATTGATATAGGTTGAGTATCCCTAATTCAAAAGTCCAAAATCTGAACCAGTAGTCTATGCAAATTTTCCAAAATCTTAAAAACTTTGAAATATGAAGCACTTCTAATCCCAAGTGCTTTGAATAAGGGTGACTCAGCCTGTATTTTAATCACTATGCAGAAGCAAATTTTATGCTTCCTTAATTCCCCCTGTTTACAAAATTAGTATAATAATATCTCTAAGGTGGTCAAGACTGTGATCATGGACTGGGCGGCCATGTATCATAATTAAGGTGGGTTTTAGAATCACAAGGACCTGTGTTGAAATCCCCACTCCACAACTCACTTTGCAATTTTTGAGCATGTTTCTTAGAGAATGTTTGTTTGTTTTTTGCTGTCTTGTTTGATTTCCTCATTTATGAAATGGGGATAGTCTTATGCTCCTCACCAGGACATTGTAAGGATTTAAACATATCACAAGCATAAAGTGCTTAGTGTAGTGCCTGGCACCATGGGATTGCTCAGTGAGTGCTTCATAGAGTAGCATTTTACTTGTTCCTGTCCTTGGAGCTGCTTGTTCCTTTCCTCAGGGTGTTGGGTAATTGAAAGGAAAACGAAGAGGCTGCACCCCTCCTGGGCTTATAAGGTCTCTCCCTCCAGGGGCATAAGACTCTTCTGCCTCACCCAAGCTCCCCTCTAGCACCTGGACCCACAGGAAAGGGTTAAGTAGCATAGAGCTTTGCCACTGCTAGAAAAATATTTCAACTCTACCAAGTGACCTTTTTTTTTTTTTTCTTTCTACAAAGAATTATGTTTGGATTTAGAAAATAGCACTTTATAGTTTGGATATAACAAATTAAGTAGCAAAAATAATTTCATCAAGAGTCTTGTGTTTTATTTCATCATTTGTAAATTTTTTTTAAACAGAAAGATTTTTTTTCTTTGACAAGTATGGTTTATAGAATGTTGCCCTTCTGCATGTGGAGTAAATTTCAATCATTTTGAATTTTTTAGGAACTATACTAGGGGCTATTTTTAATTATGTTAATCATCAAGGAGATATTAAGTATGGAAACAGAAAATTTTGGAAATAAAATCATGATAAATGTAAGAGCCATTAGTTTTTGTGATAGAAATTTTGGCTAAGAGCATATGTCTTTTATTCAGAGGTGCTTAACTACTGAGCCACATCCTGCCCCTTTTATTTTTTATTTTGAGTCAGGGTCTTGCTAAGTTGCCTAGGGCTCTCACTAAGTTGTTGAGGCTGGCTTTGAACTCTGAATCCTTCCGCCTCAACCTCCCACACCACAAGAGCATATGTCTTAACTAGGGCTAGAATGAACAACTTTTTCTAGAAAACATTTTAAACTTTCTTGTGCAACAGCAAACCATTGATATCTTTAGAATCAAATTGGTGTTTTAACTTAAAAGTTCCATATAGAGTATTATTTTAGATAAAACTTTAACTCTTAATACCTCATACTGTGTAGCACTTTAAAAAGTTTTCATTTCTCTCTTTAGGGTTCTGTAGTTTTCACTGTATAAGTCTTTCACCTCTTTTGTTAGGTTGATTCCCAAGTATTTTATTTTTTTTGAAGATATTGTGAATGGAGTGGTTGTCCTCATTTCCATTTCAGAGGATTTGTCGCTGATATACAGGAATGCCTTTGATTTATGCGTGTTGATTTTATATCCTGCCACTTTGCTGAATTCATTTATTAGCTCTAATAGTTTCTTTGTAGAGCCTTTTGGGTCTGCTAGGTATAGAATCATATCATCTGCAAATAGTGATAATTTAAGTTCTTCTTTTCCTATTTTTATGCCTTTAATTTCTTTCGTCTGTCTAATTGCTCTGGCCAGTGTTTCGAGAACTATGTTGAACAGAAGTGGTGAGAGAGGGCATCCCTGTCTTGTTCCAGATTTTAGAGGGAATGCCTTCAATTTTTCTCCATTCAGAATGATGCTAGCCTGAGGCTTAGCATAGATTGCTTTTACAATATTGAGGTATGTTCCTGTTATCCCTAGTTTTTCTAGAGTTTTGAACATAAAGGGATGCTGTACTTTGTCGAATGCTTTTTCCGCATCTATCGAGATGATCATATGGTTCTTATTTTTAAGTCTATTGATGTGGTGAATAACATTTATTGATTTCCGTATATTGAACCAGCCTTGCATCCCAGGGATCAACAAATGGGCCAAGGACCTGAACAGACACTTCTCAGAGGAGGACATACAGTCAATCAACAAGTACATGAAAAAATGCTCAACATCTCTAGCTGTCAGAGAAATGCAAATCAAAACCACCCTAAGATACCATCTCACTCCAGTAAGATTGGCAGCCATTAGGAAGTCAAACAACAACAAGTGCTGGCGAGGATGTGGGGAAAAGGGTACACTTGTACATTGCTGGTGGGACTGCAAATTGGTGAGGCCAATTTGGAAAGCAGTATGGAGATTTCTTGGAAAGCTGGGAATGGAGCCACCATTTGACCCAGCTATTCCCCTTCTCGGTCTATTCCCTAAAGACCTAAAAAGAGCATGCTACAGGGACACTGCTACATCGATGTTCATAGCAGCACAATTCACAATAGCAAGACTGTGGAACCAACCTAGATGCCCTTCAATAGACGAATGGATAAAAAAAAATGTGGCATTTATACACAATGGAGTATTACTCTGCATTAAAAAAATGACAAAATCATAGAATTTGCAGGGAAATGGATGGCATTAGAGCAGATTATGCTAAGTGAAGCTAGCCAATCCCTAAAAATCAAATGCCAAATGTCTTCTTTGATATAAGGAGAGTAGGGACGAAGAGCATGAGAAGAAGATTAACATTTAACAGGAATGAGAGGTGGGAGGGAAAGGGAGATAGAAGGGAAATTGCTTGGAAATGGAAGGAGACCCTCAGGGTTATACAGTGGAGGGGGTAGAGAGAGAGGAGGGGAGGGGAGGGGAGAGGTGGGGAGGGGGGATGGTGGAGGATGGGAAAGGCAGCGGAGCACAACAGACACTAGTATGGCAATATGTAAATCAATGGATGTGTAACTGATGTGATTCTGCAATCTGTGTATGGGGTGAAGGTGGGCGTTCATAACCCACTTGAATCAAAGTGTGGAATATGATGTGTCAAGAAATTTGTAATGTTTTGAACAACCAACAATAAAAAATTAAAAAAAAAAGTTTTCATTGTTTCTGAAGATTAAATAAGTTGAAAATTTCACAATCAGCTTAGTTATGGCTTGAAAGACTCATACTATGTGAATACAGAAAACTCAAGCTTGTTTTCACAGCAGGTAAGACTTCATAGCCACATCCTTATTTAATTATAATTTTTAAATAAAAACACTATACTTATTGATGGTTGTTAAAGAGCTTTATCAGTAGGCTACAAATATCTGATTTAAACTGGTGGGACAATAATTATTATAAGGGATAATGGAGACATGTGCAGTATTGTTTGGTCAATAGTCACACAAAGTTATAACATAGTTTATTTTATGTACACTTAGTTCAGGGTTTGGAAGTTTAACTGTTTGCTACATTTTGTCCAGACTACTTTATGTCCAGTTAGGTCAAACTGAGGATTAAGTACATCAAACTAAGTATTAAAGGTACTCTAGAATAATAAGTTCTCAAATTTGTAGTATTTAGTTCAACTTAAGAATTGTATATGACATTTGATATGTTCTCTTTTTATCATTGTTTATTTAAGCCTATTTATAAAGTGGAATTATGATAACATGGAATTCAAAATCCTGAGTGTTTTCAGTGAACATTGGAGATAATGTAGTCCCTGTAGGACACACATGAAGCTCTCTTATGGTTGAATCAAGCTAGTTGTATACAAGGGGATGATAGTGGTTTCCCATTGGTAGATGTGATCTCCAGGTGTAATTATGGGTTTACATTGATATATTTTTTCCTAAATTTCTAAATAGTACATTTATAAAATAGTTTTCTCAGTAAATTAGGAAGAAGTCTGTGGTCATGGAACACAACAAAGGTATAGAGGAGCCTGCGCGAATCAGATTTCTGGCTTTCATTCATCAAACATTAATTTGAGTGCCTACTACATATCCTGAATATTAAATAAGACACTGTCCTTGTTTCTTTGAGTTCCTGATGCTGCTTAAACAACTGAACATGTGCTACTCTGGCCTTAGGTGACTCTTCTTTCCAATGGGTAAAATGCTTTAGGTTGGTCGCCATGTAATAATGAATGTGCAAAAGAGCAATAAGTCCATCTTTCTCACTGTAATTAGAATCATCATTAGATAGTGTTGAATTGTTTGTGTTTCAGTTTTCTAGGCATATTTTTATCAAGATATTGAGTCATTAAATTCAGAGTTAACTAATTTAAAACTTATAATTTAAACTAATTGGCATCATTATCACTGAAGAAATGATTAGAAAATTAATGCCTATGAGAGGGGATATGCTACATGTAATACATGTAGCTATATGCTACATGTAATATATGTAGCTATAATTATAAACTATCATGTTGCACATATTTGTGTATTATTTATTCATTCATTTATTTTAGTACACAAGTGATTTGTGAATTCTGCCTTTGATACTACTAGCTACATGACTTTAAGCTGAGATTTCTACTTCTATAAAATGAAGAGATTGAGCTCGATAGTCTTCTAAAGTTGATCCCAACTGTAATAAACTTTGGTAATTCGAATTCTGCAGATTCAGCAGAATTAATGCCCTCTCCCAACACTTCATTAACATTTGAGAAAGATCAAAACTATGTCTTAAATTTAGAATAGCTTACCCACAGAGTTCCAGATTAACATGATTTTAAAATGGAATTATACTAGACTCAGAAAAGGACAAAGATATTAGATAATAACAGTGATTGGCTGAAATAAATATAAGCTAGGCAGTCACTCATTGTTCAGTATATAAATAATTTGCTTACAGTATTAAGAAGACTTTTCTTTAAAAGATACTTGCCCTGAACAGGCATTTATCAAAAGAAGATACACAAATCATCAGTAGATGAATGAAAAAAATGCTTAGCATTACTGAGCATCAAGGAATGTCAATTAAAGCTACAATGAGATATCACCTCACACCTGTTAAAATGGTGCTTATCAAAAAGAGTGAAATTAATGAGTGTCAACTCATTAGGGAATGCTTGTAGTCTATTTCCATTGTGGAAAACAGTACGAAGCTCTTCAAAAAATTAAATATAGAACTACCATATGGTCCAGCAATCCCACTTTTGGATATATATACAAAGGAAATGAAATCAGTAAGTCGAAGAAACATCTGTATTCTCATGTTCATTCATTGCAGCACTTTTCATAATAGGTAAGATATAGGATCAACCACAATATCCATCAGTGGTTGAATGCATAAAGAAAGTCATACACACACACACATCACACAATGGAATACTGTTCAGCCATAAAAAGAAAGAAATTCTGTCATTCATAAGAACATTTATGAACCCAGAGAATATTATTATGTTGAGTAAAATAAGGCAGGCTCTACAGAAAGATAAGTACTGCATAGTATTATTTATATGTGAGAACTAAGAAGTCTAACTCATAGAAGCAGAGAGAGAATAGTGGTTATTAGAGTAGGGATGAGTGGGGATTGGAGAGATATTAGTCAGAGGATACAAAATTTCAGTTATACAGGAAGAATGAATTCAAAAGATCTATTATATAACATGGTGACTATTGTAAATGATAATGTATTATATACTCAAAAATGTGTAGATTTTAAATGTTCTCACCACAAAAAATCCATATATTATTTCAGTATATCTATTCAATAATGTATACACATATCAAAACAACATATTGCATCCTGTAAATTTAAATGATGCCTTATTTTTTCAAAAAGAAAGAAAAGATGCTTTTCAAATGAGTACTTTTTTTAGTAATCAGGTAGGCTGTCCTAGGCATCTTTTTTCATACCCATTTTCATACACTGATCTGGGAGCCTTGCCCACTCATGATGAGATTTATGAGTCTTGTGCAATATTGTATTGATACTTAATTTTCGTGTTGTAAAAATGGATATTGTGATAATCAAGGAAACACAGCCATAGATTAAAGTGATTTCCACAAATTAACAGTTGTTTTGCTAATTGGACTAAGGACTGTGTCACTTAGTCCTATCAAGGTATTTATTTATAGGACATTAAATTGCCTGATTGTGGTTCACTGTGTGTACCTAGTTTAATTGTTATTTCAAGTTGTGCTTTTTTTCCTTTATAGGTTAAAATTCTGTGTCACCAGTTGCTGGTCCAGGTGTGTGACCTTCTCAGGCTAAAAGATTGTCACCTATTTGGACTCAGTGTTATACAAAGTAAGTCCTTTTTTTATTATTTTTATTTGTTCTACTTAGTTGTACATGACCGCAGAATGCACTTCAGTTCATCATAAATCTTTTTTATTAATATTTATGTTTTAGTTGGTCACAATATCTTTATTTTATTTATTTATATTTATGTGGCGCTGAGGATTGAACCCAGGGCCTCAAATGTGCTAGGTGAGCTCTCTACCACTGAGCCACAATCCCAGCCCCAGTTCATCAAGAATCTTAATCCTGTCCCTGATAGATTTAGCCAAAGATCCCTAAACTAATGTGTAACTTAAATCAGGCATATAATTATAAAATTGTGATTATCAGAATGTTTATAAACTTATCTTCACTCTTAGTCTAATATTTATTTATTTATTTAGTTAGTTAGTTAGTTAGGTTCTGGGGGTTGAAACCTAGGGCCAGGCCCTTGTGCATGCAAGGCAGGCACTCTACCAACTGAGCTATATCTCCAGCCCTCATATTTATTTTTTAACCTCAACTACTATGTATTTTTTTATAATCCAGATTTTATGCATTTATTTTCTTATGTTTTAAAATTAAATATTTTTAGACTTTTTTTTTTTTTCTGTGTACTGGAGATTGAACCCAGGGCACTTTACCACTGAGCTACATCCCCATCCCTTTTTATTTTTTATTTTGGGGAAAGGTTTGCTAAGTTGCTGAGGCAGGCTTCTGATTTGCAGTCTTCCTGTCTCAGCCTTGTGAATCACTGGGATTTTAGGCATGTGCAACCACATTTGGTTTACCAACTTATGTTTTAATGAACTAAGCTTCATCTTTATTTCCCTGAATTGTGGGAATAATTAGAGCTAGGAGAAAAGTATCCTAGATATTTTTGTAATCCATTTTATAATATTTGAGATTACAAAAATATTTCAATATATATAACAGTGATCTATTAATTGCATCTTATTTTCTGTCCTTCCCTCCCCACACATTTTTCCTAGTCAGACTATATGACTTGAAAACGTAGGGTTGTTATTGTCCATATATTTTATGTGAGAAAAATTCAAATGAAGAATTCCATACAAGCTTTCCTCTCCCATAATATCTTAGAGTTAAATTCTCAGGACTTATCCACAGCCATTGTTTTTATAAGTTTTCTTCTTTCAAATCATATTTTGAATTTTCTGTGATTTAGTCTTCTACATACTCAAAAACCTTTCATATCTTTGCTCATTTTGACAAGAAGACTTTTTTTCATGAAATTTATTTATATTTTATACTTGGGCATGGGTGTTGATTATTTTCTAATAGTAGGATTAGTATAAATTTTAAAGCTTAATATAGAACATGAAGAGAGAGCCTACAGAATGGAAGAAAAATTTTGTCACCTGCACCTCAGAGCATTAATCTCCAGGACATACAAAGAACTCAAAAAATTTAACACCAAAAAACCCCCCAAATAACCCAATCAATAAATGGGCAAAGGAACTGAACAGATACTTCACAGAAGAAATACAATCACTCAATAAATATATGAAAAATGTTTTACATCACTAGCAATTAGAGAAATGCAAATTAAAACTACACTGAGATTTCATCTCACTTCAATCAGAATGGCAATTATCAAGAATACAAGCAATAATAAATGTTAGCAAGGATGTGGGGGAAAAGGTCCACTCATACATTGCTGATAGGACTACAAATTGGTGCAGCTACTCTGGAAAGCAATATAGAGATTCTTCAGAAAATTTGGAATGGGACCACCATTTGACCCAGTTGTCGCTCTCCTTGGCATATACCTAAAAGACTCAAAATCAGTGTACTACAGTGATGCAGCTACATTGTCATCTATAGCAGCTCAGTTGCTAAGCTATGCAACCAACTTAGGTGCCCTTCAACAGATAAATGGGTAAAAAAAATGTACATATACACAATGGAATGTTACTCAGCCATAAAGAATGAAATTATGGCATTGGCTAAATGGATGGAATTGGAGACTATCATGCTAAATGAAATAAGCCAGTCCCAACAAACCAAAGGCCAGTGTTCTCTCTAATACGTAAATGCTGACTCACAATAGGCACAGGGGAAGAATTAGTTGGAAGCTCACTGGATTGGGGCGGGGGAGGGCTGGGGAGGGTAGTGGGGGGAAGAGAGGGGGAGGGGTATGGGAGAGACAGTAGAATTAATTGGACATAATATTCCTATGTTCATATATAAATACACCACCAGTATAACTCCACATCATGTACAGCCACAAAATGGGAAGTTATACTCCATGTGTATATGACATGTCAAAATACATTCTACTGTCATGTGTAACTCAAAAGAATAAATAATTTTTTTAAAAAAAGTTGTCTCTCTCTCTCTCTCTCTACACACACACACACACACACACACACTCTTATATTGGTGTGAGGAATTTAATCCAGGGCTGCTTAATCATTGAGCCACATCTCCAGACCTTCTGTTTTGAGGCAGGATCTCGCTAAGTTGCTGAAGTTGGCCTTAAACTTGTGATACTCCTGCCTCAGCTTCCTAAGTCACTGAGATTACTTGAGTGTGGCACCACACCCGGCATCAGTACATTTAAGTGTTTATATTTGCCAAGTTGGAAAGTGCATCATGATCAAGTGATAAACTAGGCCCTTTCTCTTCCAAAATGTGAACTGTGTTTAGTTGACTTTTTAGGAGATGCTAACCATGGTTCAGGGATCACATCAGGGCCCTGTGAATCAGCCATTTGCTCTTCCATTTCTGCCTGTGGTGGTCAGAGCAGTGAAAACACAAACACTAAGCTGTGTCCTTGTGTTAGTATATACCTGTGTTGTCTTTCAAGGAAGAGTCTTAAGATGCCCTATAGAGTCTAAGAATTTTTAATGTTATATACTCAAAAGTTAATTCTTCTCACTGAACTACAGAATCTAAATACCATTCCATATGTTGATATATGTTGTTCAGCAAGTCAGTCCAAGAAAGCCAGTTTACAGCTCCCTTCGGTTTCAAAATAAGCATTTTAAAGATGTCCTCTTTAAAGGTGAAGAAACAGTGGAATGGGTATCTGATGGCCCGGTTCTAATTCTAGTTTTGCCACTAACTAGCTGTGCAACTTTGGACATACCATTTGACTCCTATCATTGTCAGTTTTTCACATGTCAAATAGAACTTACTGCCCGACCAATTTTGCAGGATTGGTGTGTTCTTGAGAATTTTTTTTAATAAGCCTCATTTTGTAGAGTACTTTTAGGTTCACAGCAAAGTGAAGCAGGAAGTATAGAGAGTTCCCATATATGCCTTGAACCCCCGCCCCTGACACACACAGAGCTTCCCCCACTGTCAACATCCTGCACCAGAATGACACATATTACAATCAATGAACCTACATTGACACATTCTTAGCACCTGAAGTCCATAGTTAACATTTGGGTTCACCCCTGGTGTGTTATATTCTATGAGTTTGGATAAATGTATAAAAGCATGAAACTACCATTCAGTATACAGAATAGCTTTATTGCCCTAAATACTCTCACACATTCTTAGATTGGTATCTGAAGTTCTCCTTATAAGTCAAATAACAAAAGATATATTTTCTGTAGTACTTCAAACATTAACATGTTAAAATACAACTATTATTAACATTCTAGTGCCCTCTAAATACCAGGAATCTAAATACCATTCCAAGTATTGGACTTTTTGTTTTGAAATGATTTCAGATTTACAGAAGTATGGCGTGAATACTACAAAGAGTTCCCATATCCCCTTCATTCAAATTCCTCAAAGGTCAACATTTTATCTCATCTGTTTCTTCCATTCATGCATGTCTTTCCTCTATTCCTACATACTACAAACAAGGACATTCTCTTCTGTAACTACAATATAAGTATCATAATTAGAAAAATTAACACTGGTTTGATACTAAATGGCCTTTAATTTTGTCTGTTGTCTTAGTAATAGTCATTATAGGCAAAGAGAATCTAGGACTGTCAAATTTTTCCACTCACAAATTTCTCCACATATTTTTTTTTACACTCATGAGTTCATATTAACACACATAATTCGAATCCATTTCCATGGGATTCGTTCCAGTCCTTTCTTTTTTCATTATTTGTAACCTCTTCCTCCAACAGTGAGAAACCCAGCCTACTCGTTCAGTCATTTACCAGTTTATTACAATGGATACAGATGAAGAGATGCATAGAGTGAAGTTGGGAGAAGGGGTACAGAGTTTCTATACCTTCTCTGGGAGCAAAATTCTCCAGGAACCTCCTTTCAGCTTTTCAGAAACTCTAGAATTCTTAAATTAAAAGCTCTGGTCAAACTGTAAGGGGGTGGAAATACAGTGGTAGGTTAAAAATATATATGTGCTCCCATGGTGAACAGTCTCAGTGCTGTTTATTATGTTGCTACTTCTTTCGGAAACTCACATCAAACGCAAATTAGATTTAATAGGAAGGCTGTCTGGTCTTGTCCACTTTGTGTTTGATCAGTATAAATGAGAGATGGGAGATAGTATTCCTAACCTGATAATTGGGTTTAAGTGGCATCCCTTTGTTGACTCTGGGACCACTACTTCATCCTTTTCATTCAAATTAGATGATATAATATTCCATTTATAGCCAGCGTAGCTTTACTCTTCCTATTCTCCTCTGACATTTTTCCAGTTGAACCTCACTATTCAGCCAGGAATCAGCAGTGTAATCAAGCTTGTTTGTTCTTGGAGCAAAGAGACCGCTTCCCTTCCAACATGAGTATTTTTATGCAGAACATTTCAAGAGGATGCCCCCAGTTAGTGACAGAGAAAAAGGAATTGGTTTGTAAAATAAATAAAACTTGGTACAAAACAAGAGTGCTTAAGACTTGTCTGGTGGGACATATTTCACTTTTAAAGATTATTTTTAGGAAAAATGGAGAATTTATAATCAGCTTTTTTTCACATATGTATTCATTTTTACATAGTTTTAGCAGTCTTATTTTCTATTCACCTTATAAACAAGAACCCCTTGAAGAAATATTTTGGCATTCATACTTGTTTTTATAAGATTCTTCTCTTTCCACAAAATGAGTCCCAAAGGCAATCAAGAAAACACAGTATGACAAGTTTATCATTTTGTTTTGATGCAGGAAATACAGAGAATTATTCTTAAAGACTATTCTTGACAAAATGGCTTCAGAATTCTCACTTGGAAATGGGCTGTCATTAATAATTTATAATTTCTTACATAGCAATTAAATGGTGTTTCTGCCCTTTTTCATTATTTTGCACCTACAGGAACAGTTTTCTGTGAGTTAAACAAAAGCATGTTTTTCCAAGACTAAGTGACACCCACAGTGTTGGAAATTATATGAAGTTATAATGACCCTAGAAACTAAGTAAAGCAGAAATTCAAAACCGGGTTGTTTTTTTTAATTAATCTTACATACTACAACTACATTTTATGAGTTTTTGTATTGTAGAAGTGAAATAATGTATAATCTCATTAATGCGTAGCCCATAGTACCTTTAATATTTTAGTATCTCGTTGAGTTTTCTTGGTAGTATATAAATTCAGACTACATTCACAAATCTCAAGGCTTCTTTTAAAAAGTTGTTTCTTTGAACATTATTCTCATTTAAATATCTCTTTTTTAACATCTTGTCTTTTTTATTTTTTTACTGTGCAGATAATGAACATGTATATATGGAGTTGTCACAAAAGCTTTATAAATACTGTCCAAAAGAATGGAAGAAGGAGGCCAGCAAGGTACGACAATACGAAGTCACTTGGGTGAGATTATATTTATGAGCAAAATTTTTTTGATTTTTTTTTTAAACTTGTTTATTTGGCTGTTAAATATTATAAAAAATCATGAATAATAATTTATTCTATAGAGAATAGAAAAAGGGAATGAATTATACATTCTAAAATATCACATTAATCAAGTATGAATAACGTATAGTATAATGATAGTTCTGAATGTTGTTTAATGTTGGATAATAATGTTTTAGTAATCTTGTGATAATGCTTTGAAGTAAAAAGCATGGAAAAATTATATGCTTCTTTTCCATAGTTACGTTGTCAAAACTTGTTCTTAAATTTACTATTAACTATTTAATCTACTTTTACTATACTTGCATTTGATCTTTAGTTATCTTATCATACTGTTGCCTTTATTTAGTAAACATTCCATTTATACGCTAGAACATTCACAGGAAATTCATATTGAGTTTCCAGGATCACCCTAGTAAGTCAGGAATAAAATCACAGTGTCTAATCCCAGATGCTCCAATTTATAGTTAAGAATTCTTGGGATGAACTGGAGGGTTACTTCAAAGCCAGCTACAGACTAAAGAAGATGAATGTCTAAATAAACAAATAGCTTATTAGAATTTGGTATGTGGAATGTCAAGGGAATAAGAGAACATTTGTAATAAGGAGCAAATGGTCACCACAGGGGACAGAGCTGAGCCAGGAGCTGAATCTCAGCTAGAAATTTCTATGACATTTATTTTTATCTTCCCTTATGTTGTCATTGGCATTACTGTGAATGAGAATTAGATAAAGAGATAGTGTCCTGTTTTGCTTTGTAATTTCCTAGTTTTTCAGGGACCTGGTATTCCCGCAGAACCCACTTCAAGCCCCCACTCATTACTACTAAATAAAGCCCTTTAGTGTTTAAAAAGTGTCTTGCAAATAATGGTATTGTACTTGCTTTTGAAACCCATTTTTGAAGCAGCCAAAAATAGCTTGTTTTCTGTGTGTGTCTTTGTTTTAGGGTATTGACCAGTTTGGGCCTCCCATGATTATACACTTCCGTGTGCAGTACTATGTGGAAAATGGCAGATTGATCAGGTATGAGGACAAGGAGGAATTCTGAACCTTTGTTTTCTCATTGCACTTCTTCTAACGTACCAAATAAGTTACTTGTGTTTACTGTTTCTTTCCACCTGTTAGAATATAAAGTCTATACAGTAGCAATTTTTTTCTTTTTCATCTTTTTACATCCTCATGTATCTTCAATCTATAAAACAAAGGTACAATCAGTAATAAATATTTATTGAATATTTAGTGATAGTAGTAGACTATGAATGAAAATGTTGACATCACTGGCTCACATATTTTTTACTCCACATTTTCACTAAAATACTAGCCAAGAAGAAGGAATTAACACTTCCATGGAGAGGTTGATTAAAGGATTATATTCTTTTCTAGGAGTGGGATGGGGTACGGCAGGGGCAAGAGCTTACTTGTAAAAGTGCCTACATCTTTGCCTGGTATTCCTTTTACACTTGAGGGTCTTGTTTCTATTCCTACCAATGCTTCAGAACTAAGATTAAGCCCAGTGGAGCTATCCTGTGGGACACTGAGGTGCAGTTTGATGAGGGCTGGTAATTGAGTCTTCCTTCTAGGGGTGGGTTTGTGAAGAGTACTATGCCCATGATGCAAATTCAGAATTCAGCCCTTTGAAAGCTCTGTTAATCTTTTGTATAGAAGGATTTGGTGCTTTAAAATTTTCAAAGGTGATTTTTCTCAGCTGATAGGAAACACAAGAAATGTGAACTCTGTGTTTTACTTTATTATTAAACTCTGAGAAGTTCCATATAAAAGAGAAAAAAATACATTGCCTGGTGAATTATTTAGCAAATTAGTTCTTGATATTTTATGTTATTGCTAGGTGCAAGTTAAAGAGTAAAACACATCATCTCATGAGGAATATTTTTTAAAAGACTAAGAAACTTTACTCGTTATTCTTAGTTTATAGTTTTATTTTATTCAATTTACCTGATAAGGGTGCAATGCCTTGGAAAGAAGGAAAATATATTATTTAGCCACTAATTAACCCCATGGAGGTAACCTATACTTCTGCCTTTTCTCCCAGTCCAAACAATGTGTGGTCAGTATTATAAAAAGAAGTGCTCTGAAGAGTTCTATGTCCCAAGGGGAAAGAATTACATAAATGCTTTATTTTTAAGCTCCTCATATTTAAAAATTGCCTCAGTTAAAGTAAACCAGTATGTTTTTATTATCATCTACTAATGAGCTATATATCTTAGGTAAACAGTCAACCTAAAATGGTAAGGAGGCAGTTAGCTCATTAAAATACATACATATGCACACATTTTTTTTCTTGCATATGTACTTTGATTGCAAAGCATCTTATTTGCCCATGAACAATTTTTTTTTTTGAGCTTTGACCAGGTTTTCCATAATCCACCTTTAATGGAGACTGTATTTATTTCTGACCTCAGTGGACTGTCATGAGTGCACTAGTAGCTCTTCATTTTGTGGGCAGCATATGGTTGTCATGACCCTGTCTATGATATACAAAGTAATATCTACTTAATAAAAAAAATAACAGATTTAAGGGAAGCTTTTAGTTCACTCTCAGAGAATTACAAAAACAAAAAACACTTTAGTTAAGCAGATTTTTGTTTTCTAGAAGGGTATATAAGCAAACATTTTTAAAAGGGCCTCTGATATTTGTAAGTGCTCAGCTAGGAAACAAAAAAGAACAGCAAAACATTAAATCCAGGATTACTCCTATATTTGTACTTATTTGTGTCATGTGTAAAGCATCATCGTGGTAACAAACTATTTTAAATACAGCAGATGCCATGGCTTCTAATAGGTCCATTCTGTGCATTCAGTGATATTTTTACCGTATTGGAGTAAATACCTCCACCCTTCTGTGATGGATCAAAAGCTGTGAGCCTTATCTTTGCTGTGGTAGTCTGACTTGGAGTCCTCCCCTCCCCTCACTCCCATGAGCAGCCCTCACCCCTTTTTCAGTGAAGTGGTGGGAGGAGAAGAAACAAAGGGCTCCTGTCACCAGATGGAGAGCAGGATTGGGTTCTGTTTACATGCCATTGCATTGTTCACCAAAATGTGATTTCTGTTTTCTTTTATTTTCCTAGTGACAGAGCAGCAAGATACTATTATTACTGGCACCTGAGAAAACAAGTCCTCCATTCTCAGTGTGTGCTCCGAGAGGAGGCCTACTTCCTGCTGGCAGCCTTTGCCCTGCAGGCTGATCTTGGGAACTTCAAAAGGAATAAGCACTGTGGAAAATACTTTGAGCCAGAGGCTTACTTTCCATCTTGGGTAGGCACTGTTTTCAAATTCTCATGAGTGTTTTCTTGAGTACTTTTCTAATTTGCTGTTTCTTATACTGTTTTAAGAGATGGGAACCACATGGCTATGGGGCCATTAAAACCACCCATGATGCCCCAACATACACTTAACCCTTGAGAGCATGATGCACATGTCTTGATGTGCTTCTCAGCATGTAGCTAATGGGGAGAGTCTATTCTCCACCACCAGTATGATGGAACTTGAATTTGCCATTCTCCTTCACCATGTACTGACTGTGTCTTATTCACTCTTAGTAGAGCAGTATTTTCCCCCATTGAGTAGGAAAACATTACTCCTTAAAAGATGAGATCATTCACAGTTTTCTTGGGCTGAGAAAACAAATCTAAATCAACTTCTCACTCTGACCTCCACGTCCTTTCCTCCTAGGATAGGAGCCACCCTTTACTTTAGAAAGAAAATTTAGGTTGTTCCAGTGTGAACTGTCACTCCCTTTCTGTATCCTAATTCATTTATCTTCCCATCCTTCCTACAGATCTTGCTCTTTTCTCTCTTCTGTGTCATCAGCCCCTCCTCAGACTCACACTCCTTTAGTCAGGACACTCAGAATGTGAGTGTTTGTCCATACAACCCAGAGAAAGAAGAGCCACCTCCGTTGCCTTCCTTCTCAGGAAGTTTCTTGAAAAAGCAGTGTGTAATATAAAGTTACATGGCATAATGGTTAGCACTGTGGCCTCTGAGAATGTAGTGTGTATTTAATTTTCTAGCTTCTTCCTTCCCAAGTGAACCCAGTGCCCTACACATGCTAGGCAAGCGCTCTACCACTGAGCCACAACCCCAACCCTTTAACCAGCTTTAACAACCTCCTATATGCAGGTAACTCCCAAATCTATTTCTTTCCCCTATGTCTGTGAAGTAGTTATTCATCCTTAAGTACCCAAACTCAAGATTTTCTGAATCAAATTCATCATCTTCCCACCTCACTTCTGTGTAATCCTATCTCTCTTTTTGTCAGGGGCACTGTCATCTGCCCATGTGCTCAGAAACTGGAGTCAGATGGAACTCTGTCTTATAACCATGCCTTCTCCCTGTCCTGTCCAGCCATCCTCCACAGCATCCTCTGATAAAACACTTCAATACCTGTGAGCCTGCTTAAGAAATAACATCCTTTTGTGTTCATGGTTTCCCTCCCTCTCATGGTCCCTACCATTTTCCAGACTCCAGTTCTCAGCAGCACTGTCACTTCCTTGCTTATTCCATAGCTTGAGATGATTTTGGAGCTTCCCTGTGGTGTGAAATCCAGAGCTCCTAAGTATGACCTAGAAACTCCCCAGGATGTGGTCTCTGCTGGCCTCTTTAGCTTTCTCGTGTTCTCCGCCCCCCCGCCCCCGCCCACTCTCTCTCTAGTTGTCCAGCACCTTGAACTTCTGTTCTAGCAATATTCTGCAATTGATATGTATTCACACTTACTGTGGTGTTTCACACTTCTGGGCCTTTCTTGTAGTTCTTTAACCAGTTGAGCCCACTCCCTTTTTTTTTCCCATATGTAATGGTTTTATTATTATTTTTATTTGTTTTAATTAGTTATACATGACAGTAGAATGCATTTATGAACTTTGATATATCATACATAGATGGGATATAATTTCTCATTTTTCTGAGTGTACATGTTGTAGATTCATACTGGTCACGCAGTCACATATATACATAAAGTAATAATGTCTGTTTCTTTCTACTATCTTTCCTATCCCAAATTCCCTCCCCTTTTAAGTCTGCTAACTCCTTTGGGTCCTCCAAGACTCAGTTCTGGTGTGGCTTCCTCTGGGCAGTCCAACTAGGCCCTATTCTGGCTGAAGAAGACCTTGAACATAAGTGTTATCCATCTATTTTCAAATGATCTGTTCATCTCTTCTCCCCAGTAAATTCAGCGTTTCTTAGTATATTCCAAGGACCAGACATAAACAGAACCTTTATTATCTTCAGTTCACACTGAAATGCGCAATAAATTTCTGATTGACATTGCTTTACTCATTGAAGAGAAACCACAGTGTGTGTCAAGCTCTCACTGTGGAGTGCATTGCTTTCTTTAGTTGCAATCAGACACTAAATTTGATAGTTATATCAGAGATCCCAAAAGAGTGTGCTATGGTAACAGTTTCCTCTACTCTAGAGATGACCCCAGTTATCCATTCTGTTACTCTTACAAATATTATTTTCTGTGGTTTTTGAACTGAAAAAAGAAATGTTGACACATACTGATTTAGGTGATTCCCATTTAAAAAAGAAAAAAGTCTAGAAAAACCTATAATTTGAGTTCTCAGCAAAATTGGATAATCACTCAATAACTTATAAAGTTTAATTCTTTATAAATTATTCAATAGGGAGAAACAAAATACCAATATCTATAAAGTCATTTTTAGGCTTAAAAATCGCTAATTTTTTATTTTGATTATTTTCATCACTTTTTGCTCATGCATAATTCTTTACATATTGTATAATACTTGTGGAATCAACTAAGACTTTAATCAACACCTTTCTCTTAGCCTGCAGCTTCTGGATACTATATATTTTTGATATCTAAAATGTTACACTAATGAAAATCTAGGCTACAAGGAATTACAATGCATGTTCGAATGAGTTTGTTTTCTCACAAGTATTCAGATAGGTTGTTCATAGCCTCTTAGGCAAGAACCAAAAATGTTTTGGAGAATTCTTCCCAGTCCCTGGCCTTCTTCTGATGAACATTTATACTCTTCCACTCCGTGGCTGTAATTTAGAAGTTAAGTAGGATCAAGAACTTGCAGATATGCTGACAGTAAATGTATTTCATTGTGCTAATCATTTTGCAAGTATAAACTGTGATGTGTACAAAATTATGCAAGTTTGCATGTCATTTTTTTTCTTGGTGACTTTAAAGCCAACAGAACCTATTTTTTCCACCTCCTGTGACTTTTCTTCTTAGATATGCAGTACTGCTGATAGTACTGCATATCTGGCTTATTAGCATTAGCTGATTCAGCTTAGTCTCTTAACAGTTGATGAAAACAGAATAAAAGTGGGAATTTTCTAATGGAAACTAGCCAGTTTACATGGCCTGCTGTAGATTCTCTCCCTTTTATCATTTTGGCGATGGGGGTGGTACTTACATCCCTCAAACAAATGTTGCATTGCACATCCCTTGTATCCCAACAGGTTGTTTCCAAGAGGGGGAAGGACTACATCCTGAAGCACATTCCAAACATGCACAAAGATCAGTTTGCACTGACCGCTTCCGAGGCTTATCTTAAATATATCAAAGAGGCTGTTCGACTGGATGATGTTGCAGTTCATTACTACAGATTGTATAAGGTACAAAACTGAAATAAACTGTAACTTTTGAGAAAAACGCCTTCTCAATTAGGATTTCAGTTCTCTTGAAAATTATGATTTCCTTTTTTAACTGACTTTTACAAGTTTTGGTTGAACTGTACTTTGTTATCAGAGGTTAGCCTGGAAAGTGATGGTGCTTTCCCTCTGGCATGGAAGCAGGATGGAGTATTTTTTAACAGTTCTTATTTTTCAAAGTGAAACCTTGCGTACATCCTATGCATTAATTACTAGAATACCACAGCAATAGCTAATGTTTATGGAGTACTGTGTTTATGGGGCACATTTTACATGTATTCTTTTTTTTTTTTTTTAATCCTTATAACTCTATAAGAAAGGAACTGTAATCCTCATTTTATAGACCAGGAAACTGAGGAGGTTAAGTAATTCACCTAAGGTCACAAAACTAAGTGATGAGCCTAGATTTAACCCAGGCCTCCTGATAACAAAGCCCATGTGCTTAAGCCACCACACTCACTCCTCACTCTTTGAAATCCTTTACTGTCTTTTGTGTCATGTGTGTCCCTAGTCTCACCCTGGGGCAGAGGTTACATACCCAAATAATGGAGGTGGGGGCATGTTCTGCCCAGAATCACTTACACTGCTGTTTCTCATCTTCTTGTCTTCTCTTCCCTCTTCCCTCTGTTCTTTTCCCAATTCTACAAGTGCCACTTCCTTGGTAAGAACTCCTGAATTCCCACTTCATTATTCAAGATATGTTTGCAAACCTAATAGGATGAAGAGCATGGTCAGTTGGGCCTAATTGCTTGGGATTGAATCCCAGCCTGCCTTCTTACTGTGTTACCTCAGACAACTTATTTACCCTGTCTGTGCTTCAGTTTCCCGCTTAGTTAGATGGAAACAATTATATTTACCTGTTAGGATTGCAGTAGACTAAAGGAATTAGTGGATAAAGAGTGCTTGAAACAGAGCTCATAACCTGATAAGCACAGTGCTAAGCTTGCTACTTTTCATCATTAGCATTGTTATTACTGTGCTTGTTATCTCTGCCATACCCTCGTGGTAAAGTTAGCTTAACTAGACCATTGGAGACTGAACTGTATTTAGATGTATTGCTGGGTAATCTAGCTGGTTCTGAAAACTTAATCAGGGACCAACATATTCTCCCTTTTTCCCTCTCTCCCTCTCCTTTTTCTTAAGATATTTTATGTGTGACACTTTACATGAGAAAATGCCAATAAATGATACTTTTGACAATCAGTTTATATTTTGAAATGTGTTAGAAGTATGAATAATATGATAGAAAAACTTTGGCTTTGGAATAAAGTATCAGGTAGAAAGCATATGTCACTACTCATTGCTGCTGGGTCCTCGGCTACTATAACTGTAACCTCGGGCCATAGTTAAGTGAGAATGATGCTATATACTCCAAAAGGTTGAGAGGGTTTAAGGAGGTAACAAATCTGAAATAACAAGGTGGAATACCTGTCACATTAATGAGTGCTCAATAACTATTAATCATTTCTTCCCTTATGTGCTGGGGAAGTTTGCTATTTTAAAGAATTTTATGAAGAACTAAGATTCTTTCAGTGAGGAAGTACGTAGGCCCAATGTATCTTTTTTTGTCAAAACCAGTTTTTCAAGTTTGCTTGATGTGTGGTTCTTCTATATTGCATAGAAAATTACTCTCTTGTCTGCTTGATTTAATAAAAATTTAACTGAATAAAATGAGTGAATAGATATTGTTACTTGATGAGCAGTTTTCATTCTTTGGAGAAATCAAGTGACAACCGTTTAATACACTTCATTTACGTGTTGCTTATAAAATGTAAAAAAGATAGGACAGGGAATATTCTGGAATAAAAAAGCTGTTTTATGATCCTTTCCCACCAATACACACCTCACACCTGAACCACCATCTTTTCTTGAGCACAATCTTATCTTAGAAGGTATCTCAAGTACAGCATGGAAAGGAAAATTAGTCAAAATTTGTCATGGATATGTTTCTCCTGTTAAACCTTAGAAATACCTTTCATTACATAAAAATATATTAGTTGGAAAGAAACCAGTCCAAATAGGCTATGTCTTTATCTCAGATGACTATGCATTTTCTAAAAATATTTTTTACATGTTTGAGAAAATTGGCATCAAACTTAATAATGACTTACACATATTCATTGGTTTGAGAGTTAATGAAAATATTTTAGTTGTAACTTTATTTTATATTTTGAACTTAATACCTTATATATACTTATTACAGATGAGCACTTGAAAGAAGGGGCCAAATCTCAGAGTATGTTTTTAATTGTAGGATTATTTTTCCTTATGATTGTTGTAGTTTAAGTTTCACAGTTTATGGTTTAGTTGGTAGAATGCATATCATACTGGCAAGTGATAACTGAACTTCTTAAAAAGAAGTACTTCCAAACTAACTAAATATAAAGCTTTTGTGGTTTTATTACCTGTGCTCATGAAATATCTTTTAAATGTTTAATCATTTGTCTGTACTTTTGGCTTCAGGATTAGGAAGCTGGGAGATTTGCCCAATTTTAAATATATGTAGTCTAATGCATCTCAGTTTATAACCATGACATTAGATTCAAGATTCTAACATCTAAGAAAAGAGTAAGCATAGATGGAAGGTGAAAAAAATTAAATGATGCAAAAGCAACAAAAAAAAGTCTTATCTATTAGAGTTCTCAATAACCAAGTATTTAGTATATTATAAGAAATGAAAGGATATTAATATACTGAAAACACTAAAACTTTGAAACCTAAGGACTTAAAATGTAGAATATGCCATTATTGATTTAATGTAGGTTCATTATTTTCTCAAATCTTGTAGAAAACTTGGAATGTGGAAAGATGTGAACAAAGTTAAGTCAAAAATTTTCCAATCCTGAAATTTCTCTCTTTTTTTTCCTTTGGTGCTAGATTGTTTGTTATAGGGGAAAGAATATACATTTTCATAATATTTTATTCCTGCAGGATAAAAGGGAAATTGAAGCCTCACTGACCCTTGGATTGACTATGCGGGGAATACAGATCTTTCAGGTTGGTACATGAGAATTAAGTGTCAAATGGTATTGACCATGTCTTACATTGAAAGTGTGCCTGTGAGATCCTGCCATAGGCGCAGTGGTTCATTTCCAGTTATTATTTCCTATTTGTCTAGCACAGATGGTGGATGATGGTGACTGAGTGAAAGAAGTGACTCAGCCTGATCTGATAGTAGTAAGTCCTCTGTAACAGAAAACAACAAGCTGAAAGTTAGCCCAGGTTCATCATTAACAGATCACTAGCAATTGTTACTATCCAAACATTTTTGTTTGTATGGCATTGATTTTCAATATTCTTTTTATCCTCTAGAGAATTTAATAACTGTGGAAATAAAAATGGCATTTTAATATGGAGCCTGTAATTTCTGTTACCTTTTTCTGATAAAATTTGTCCCTTTAATAAGTAGTGGCTGTTACCCTTTTGCAGGTAGGATACTATTATCCTACAGCCATCAACCAGGGAGAGAGAAAAATCTTCCTGCAAGATAGAGGACCATATAAGGATATTTTTGATGTAGGCAAAATACCCAATTATGAAAGTCTGAGTCCCTTATCACATCTTTTGAATGTCTGAGTCTTTTGGACTTTTTATTTAAATTTAGGGATAGGCCAGAAGGGAAAAGATTGCTTAAAAGGGCCAGTTAATGCAGTCATGAAGGAACTAAAAGCTACAGAATTTTATCAGTAATCTTTTAATTACTGTCTGCACTTTTCCAGAGAGAGTTGAGGAACTCTTTCATATTTTAATTACTAAATTTTAGTTTTCTAGGAGAGAAAAGCTGGAACCATTTTAGAGTATATGTCCTTTTTCGTATTAACTCTAATGCATCATTATTTTTTCCACAGAATCTAGATGAAGAGAAACAATTACTTTATGATTTTCCCTGGACAAATGTTGGAAAGTTAGTGTTTGTGGTAAGTTGAAAATAACTGATTTAAAAAAAAAAAAAAGTAAGAAAAGTCTCACAAGTTGTTTGTTTTTGTGAATCTTTATTTTTTGTCTTATTTTGTTTTTAGAACATTTTGTCTCAGGCACAAAAGTTGTTGTTTTTAAAAAATTGAAGCTGGAAATAATTTGCTTTCTTACATCCTTATAATCCCTGTCAGTCATAAGAGTAGTGAACTTAAAGTCAGATAATCTTATAACAAAAGAATTTACTGATTTTAATTTATGTGTTCCTACCATAGTACCCTAAGTTATTTTAGTCGCAGAAGAAATAGGGTAGGAAAAGCATGAGTCAAATTCATTAGATGGGACTACCAATAGGAAAACCTATAGCAGAGGGCTGAAAACAGAAAGCCATAATCACAGGGTGAAGTATCTTGGTATGGAGACGGGCTGGTGCTTTTGGAGGTTACTTCTTTTGAATAAAGAATAAAGAGTGATATGAAAAGATGTTTCTATTAATATCAGACTATTTAAAACTCATCATTATAAAAGAAGATCTACAATGCTTAATGGAAAAATGCTTTTATTTTTAGAATCTTGAGAATGATACACTTTCTTTTGTTATGGCAAATTCTTGATTTTTCCCAGCTGTTTCTTTGCTTTGGCATCTATATCCATATTTTTGGTAAGGTTCAAAGAATTCCACTTAATATTGTGTATACCTGGTGATCATTAAAATTCATAAGTCTGCTTTGTTCAGAAATTATTGGAAAATATACAAAGTAAGTATATAAGAATAAGGATTTAAAGACCTATGCTTCTCCCCTGTAAGGAAGATGGCCTATATAAATAAAGGGCTGCATTGTGCATGGAATGTGGACCTGACTCCATGCTGTCCTGTGAGTCAAGAGACCTATTTCTGATTTCACATTACTTTAATTACTTGGGCACCATTCAATCCAGGATTTCACTGTAGTCATACATTAAGTGAGGCCTGCCCTGCCTCCTCCTTACTGGCTCTATTCAAGTTCTTTGCAAAAGGATCTGACCTGTTTGAAAGTGAGCAAATCGTAGTTCTGCTTATTCCTTTCATGGCCCAAATTCAGTAATAATAAAATGTACTAGTCAAATTGAGATTTTTGGGGTCCTGCACTCATGGTTCCTGAATCTTATTGTGAATCAGCCTTATCTGAAGAGTTTGCTGGCTACCTGGCTGTGTGACCCTGAGAAAGCCACTTAACTGCTACATTGGTCTCATTCTAAAATGGTGATAATTGAGCCTTCCTCATAGACTTTTTGCGAGGATTAAGTGAGTTAATAGATGCTTAGTGCTTACTAAATGTCAGTTAAAACTATCCCAGCATTGGGATCCACTAGTAGGTCCTTTAAAAAGCCCAGAGGTTTGGGCTGGGGTTGTAGGTCAGTGGTAGAGCACTTGCCTCGCATATGTGAGGCACTGGATTTGATCCTCAGCACCATGTAAAAATAAGTAAACAAAATAAAGATATTGTGTTCATCTATAACTAAAAACAAAAAGAAAGCCCAAAGGGTTTTTTTTTAAAAAAAAAAAAAGCCCATTTCTATCTGAGCCTCACAATCCCATGTTGCTTTCCAACTCTGAGGTGTGTAGATAGACTATACTATCTCCTTGCTCTGTCATGGCCTTTCAGTGGAGAATCATTCTGTCCAAAATATTTTAAATCTCTGTTGCCTAATTTGTTATTAGAAAAGTTTAAAGAATTCATAATATCCAAATACAGTAGGAATGTTGAGACTCACCCACAAACATACAATTTTTATATTAATAATCCAGACTTAAACAGTCAGGTTTTTGGGGAAAGGTATACTGGGGCATGAACACAGGTGTGCTTTTAGCACTGAGTCATATCACCAGCCCTTTAATTTTGAGACAGGGTTTCCCTAAGTTGCTTAGGACCTTGCTAAATTGCTGAGGCTGGCCTTGAACTTGAGATCCTCCTGCCTTAGTCACCCAAGTTGGAGATTCCTTATATTACTACTAATAGTTACTCTTCTTTCTCTTTTCCCATCCTCCAAATACTAGCTGCCTCCTTTATCCAACTAGAGAAGTTTTCTATATTTTTTAAACCCTAAATAGGTGTCCTGTATTGTTCACTATCAAAACTGATTTATTGCATTTCCAGAATTTATCATAAACTATAATTATTTCATGTGTTTATTTACGTTCTTTCCCATTGGACTGTAGCTTCTTGAGAGTAGGGACTTGTCTTATTCATTGTTTTTTTTTTCAGTGCCCAATCAGTGTTTTGTTAGTATTTGATAAATATGTGGATGCTTTAATCTCTTTAGAATTTTATCTCTTATTTGTTGAGTTAGGGTGTTGGAATTGCATCTCAGGGTGCTTTTATGATGGGCCTTTCCCTTATCCATAATACAAATAGCCTGACCAACCAGAGAAACCAAACACATTCCCTAACTGTCCTGTGTAGAAATTGTTTCCTAGAGGACATTGGCTAGATACTTCCCTGAATTTTTTATAATCCTCTGTCCTGTGACATTTTTGAAAGGGAAAACAGTAATCTATCCCTTAGGGAATTTTGAATGGAGCTTTATACATCTACTTCTGAATATGTAGTCTTTCTTACTAAATAAAAAATGAAGGAGGCCTTGGCAAATCAAATCAGACGTTTTTCTTCCTTAATTTGATTCATGCTTTTCCTCCACAGGGTAAGAAGTTTGAAATTTTGCCAGATGGCTTGCCCTCAGCCAGAAAGCTCATATACTACACAGGGTGCCCCATGCGCTCCAGACACCTCCTGCAGCTTCTCAGCAACAGCCACCGCCTTTACATGAACCTACAGCCTGTCCTGCGCCACATTCGGAAGCTGGAGGAAAATGAAGGTATCACAGGGTCTTGGGGTTGTAGCAGCAAATGTTGCCTCTACTACCCCTGGGCTCTTACTCTACTGCTGCTGTGAACCAAATTTAAGCTCTGGAAGCCTGGGCTTTGGAGACTGGGACTCTGAAGATTCAGAGCAGCAGTTCTGTTTACATCTCAACATGGTCCTGGAAGGCAAGAGGATGGGCTTGAGGCCCACCAACCATAGCACCTCTTCAAAATCTCTGAAGTTACCCCAATCCTTTAGCTTCATTCTCTTTAAATAAAGTTTCCCACACCTTCCCAAAACCCCTCACAAAGAGCCATCATAGAGAGGCACAGGGCTAGGGTTTATCTGCAGCTTATATTTTATCTGCAGCTCAGAGCTCTGTATACACTGACCCACCTTGGTGCTGTTATCCACAGGCAGTCTGGAATTCCTCTCAATGTGATTATTCCTTAGGTTAAAGTGATAAAAGTGTCTCCAGCCTCTCAGATTGACAGCTGGGAGACCCCCAAGTTTGACCCAACAAGAATGACAAAGGAAAAAGAACTTTTAATCTGAGGACTTCGTGAGACAGTCCTATGGAGGCTTTACTAAGCTGCGGTTAGAATACAGTAGTCTATTTGGGGCCCCAGAGTACCAGGCCCTGCAAATGGGGGAAAGTCAAAGTGAGGAAGGGAATCAGAAGTCAACTTTACAATATTAATCTCTAATATGGTTAACCTTTTATCTTGAGTTGTGGCACATTGGTATTCCTCTATCTAACTCACCCAACTTCTAGTTCTCCAAAATGCTATCTTACACATTTACTTATTTTTTAATGTTTTCAATTTGTTTTTCAAAGTCATGTTCCAGTTATTCTTATAGTAATTAGGCCTTATGATAATTTGATTATTAGAGTTAATGGACCTCAGTATACAGATTTTTATCTTAGATCCATTATCTAAATCAAGTTTTGACCCCGAGACCTTTTTACCTGCAAAAACAGGACAACAAAACCAATAAAATAACCTTAAGTTCATGCATTTATTTGAGTTCTCTCAAAAACTCTCAATCCACATAAGATCTTGTTTGGAGAGTCCCTGGTAATTTAGCAGCAATTAGGACATGAATCACTCCCACTGTCTGCCACTAGACTGCATCAGTCTAAAGAGAGAATTCATATAACTTTTCAGATGCATTGGCTTTTGCTGCTGCCAGACTGGCAGTTCTTCCCCACCATGACTCATCTGGCTGGGAAGTCCAAGATCAAGGGATTGGCACCAGGTGGGGGCCTTCTACTCCATCATCCAAAGGGCAAGGAACAGGAAATAGAAATAGTAAAAGGAGGCCAAGTTCCCCCTTTTATAGTGAACTCTCCCCCTGTATAACAGATACATCTCCCCTGTGCTAACATGAATATTAAGAGGAATTCAGTGGAGGGCAAAAGCAGGAGCCTTTGAGAACCGTTGACTTAATTAGGTGCAAATCCTATAATATGCCAAGTTTACCTCTTTCCTAAATGGATACAATGGCACCTTGAGAAGTTCATTTATTCCATCATCTCTCACTTGTAGCATTTTAGTAAATTCTTGTGTAGATAATCTTATGGTGAACCCTTGAGGTCCTAAAAGAATTAATGACCCTCCTCTGTAGTTTTTAAGATAAAATTCTAAAGGATTTTGATTTCTTGGAGGGACAGGGCTTTGTCCATTACAATGCTTCATGCCTAGTGTAATTGGGAGCATCAATGATGCTCTAGTCTTAGTTCATTCTATGCTACGATAACAAAATGTCACAGACTGAAGCATTTTATAAAGAACAAAAATGTATTTCCTACCATTCTGGAGGCTGGGAAGTCCAAGATCAAGGATTGACACCAGGTGGGTGTCTTCTACTCTATCATCCAAAGGGCAAGGAACAGGAAATAGATATAGTAAAAGGGGGCCAAGTTCCCCCTTTTATAGTGAACTCTCCCCCCTAAGAATGGCATTAATCCATTAATGAGGGCAGAACCCTCATGGCCTAGTCACCTCTTAAAAGTCTCGTATTTGAATACTGTTTTAGCAGCAGTTGGATTTCAATAGGAGTTTGGCAGGAGACAAACAGACAAACCAACATAATGTAGGGGACTGAAGGATGATAAAGGAGTAAGTTGGAACTTTTATTTGGATAACTGTAATAGATTCAGGGAAAACATCTTTTCTTTTTCTTCTTCCAAAGAAAATGTGCTCAATTTTTTCTGCTTAGAGGTGCCTTCAATGCAAAGAAGTCTCAAGCCAACTTTCTCTGAGCCAACTTTGGCCTAAATCCAGTTATCTTATCTACACCTAAGGGCTTATCATTTTAATAAGAAGCACCTCTTGACATTAGAAAGAAAGTAGTTTTCTTAATTAAATTTCATTTAGAATCGCCTTATCTGTGACACTGTTTTATCGTTTTATGGTAGAAAATGATAATGAGAATTTCTTCATAGCATTTAGAAGAGAAGGAAAAACATTGCCTTGTGTCATTAAAAAAAAAAAAGTTTAAGTCCAACTTCATTCAGTAACTTGGATATATTATTAAGTGTAGGTTAAGAGGTATTATTTACTCTACTGTGCTCAAAAATTATGCATGAAAAACTGTTGTCTCTGAGCTTTTACAACAGAGGGAATAAAAAGAACACAGATTGATGATGTGTGCTGTTAATAACAATGATTATTATGGGGAGTAAAAGATCGCATTTTGCATTTCTTAGAATAAATTCCAGAATTATTTAAGCCTTTTCCTCATTTTGGAACTGGGTGAAGCTTTTTAAATGTTTGCAAAAGGCCTAAATGACACAAACTAGGAAGAGAATAGAAGCTAGTCCCTTAGAACACCAAGGCTGCACTAATATGTTGACAGCAAATATGATTTACACTAGGCTCCTGTTATGTTTTCACATAAGTGAACTAGTGACTGTAGAGGAACTGTAATTGATTCTGAGCCTATCAGGAAGATGGAGTGAAAGGGCTTAAAAAAAAAAAAAAAACTTATTGGCGCATTATAATTATACGTAATAGTGGACTTTGTTGCTATACATTAGTGTATGTACTTAACACAGTTTTGTCAGTTTAATTTCCCATTACTTCCCCTTTCCCATGCTTCTTCCCTCCCTCTAGTCCCCTTCCTTTACTCTGCTGGTCTCTCTTCTATTTTCATGAGATTTCCAAACCTGTCCCCCTTTTGTTTTCCTTCTTTTCTATCTAGCTTCCACATATGAGAGAAAACAGATGGCTCTTGACTTTCTAGATAAAATAACTATTTTTAAAGATGCAGGAAAACTTGAAATATTAGATCCACAATTTCTAATTGTCTTAGACCTATAGAAATACAGCATCTTGTAGCAGTGTTTTATTTATTTATTTTTCTCTTTCCAACTTTTATTTGGATAACTGGGCCACATGGCTATTATTTTGAAACAACAGTTTATAGAAATTACATGAGAAATTTGTAAGCCCCTTTGATCCTGCATCTTCATCTCTGCCCATGTTGACTTCACAAGTCGGGAATCATCAGAGTCCATCTCATTGTGATGATGGGAAGGGATCTGCTACTGAGTTCCTGCTTGCCTTCTCTGTGGCTACACATACTTGCCTTTGTGTTTCAGCCTGATTCCTTAGAATAACATGAATGAGCTGTAGCCCAGAAATGTTTACATAGCCTTACCCAAGCATTTTTTGCATTTTGCATTCTGGAAAGTGCATCTTCTGTCTCCTGCCACTCGTTGCCTCCCTGGGGAGGCTATAGTGATTGTGCTTCAGAGCTGGATTCAGACCTGAGGAGTGCAAGTATTTTCACTTAACCAAGAAATAAGACAATTAAATCCATTAGCAACCCCCTGAGACCTCAATTACCCTTCTAGTTAGCAGTTTGTAAAACAACATCAACTTAACATTCCCCAAGTGCACTCTTGTCTTTAATAGTGGTCTAATGTGTTATTTCTCATCAGTATTGAGAAAGCAAGGAGGCTAAACAGTTTTTTACATTTTCTGACCTGAAACAGAAAAATAATATTTTTATATCAGTGCATAACTGCAGTTCAGTTTTAACTTCATGCTTTAATAAAAGAGGCTCCCCATTGTCTCTCATGTCTAAGTTTGACTACATTAAAGAACAGCACTGACATGTTAAATCATAGTTTTACCAATCTGAGGCCACATGTTTATAAGTCATCAGACCAGTAGTGATTACTGTTTTCTAAATAGATAATAAAGCCTCACTAAATGGAGAAAAGCACTCTCATATTCATGAAAATCTAAACTGTAGAATCTTTGAGAGAAATTTTCTGAATAGTTTTTTCTGAAATTGTATACAGAAGCTAGACCTAACAATGGACCAAATTTAACAAATGAATAAGCAAACAAATTAAATTGTCTTCTATAGCAGTGCTTCTGAAATTATCTGTGGAAAAGGACCAAATTTTTTTAATATCTAATATGTTATGGACTGATACTTTTGCAAAATACAAAGTCACATTGGTGACTGTCACATTGCTCTGGAAGTTTCTAAATGTTCTCATTTATTGTATTTATTTCACTATGGTACAGTAACAACTTGTAGAAAAAAGTGTTCTATGACTGCACTTTGAACAGCACTTCTCTCTAATGTGTGAAGCTTCAGAACGCTGAGTGGTTTAAATAGTTCCCTCAAGTCTATTATGTTGGTTTTCATTCATTCTGCATCCTCCTAAGTCAAACTTCTCTCTCAGTTGTCACCACTTATCAGTCACTAGATTCAGAATTTGAAATTGTACTTGTTCTTGGCCTGATGACTCGCGCAAGCCAGCCAGCCATTCCTTGTGTCTTAGTTGACATGATGATGAGCTGTGTTCTCACCACACAGAGAAGAAGCAGTACCGGGAATCTTACATCAGTGACAACCTGGACCTCGACATGGATCAGCTGGAGAAACGGTCACGGGCCAGCGGGAGCAGCGCAGGCAGCGTGAAGCACAAGCGCCTGTCTCGTCATTCCACCGCCAGCCATAGCAGTTCCCACACCTCAGGCATTGAGGCAGATACCAAGCCCAGGGACACAGGGCCAGAGGACAGCTACTCCAGCAGCGCCATCCACCGCAAACTGAAGACCTGCAGCTCAATGACAAGCCACGGCAGCTCCCACACCTCAGGGGTAGAGAGTGGTGGCAAAGACCGTCTAGAAGAGGATTCACAGGATGATGGTAATAGTACTGTCATCACCAGATCACTTTTTTTCCCTGTAGTTTTTTCAACTATTGCTTCTGTAGAATTGGTATCTAAGGAGCAGCTAGGTAGTGGTAATAGAGAAGTGGTATCATGTGGTCTTCCCCTGTGACTTGGTTGAGTTGCTTGTGTTTGGTTGTGAACAAGGCAGCCCTCTGGTCCAGATTCTTTGCAGCCAGATGGTTGGCTGTTTAAGTGAAGTAGAGTGGAGTTTAGTCCTACAGCCCTTGCATCTATATTTCTGACTCCGAGATTAAATATTTAAAGGCAGTGGTTAGGACAGCAGAGTGGAGTGCAGTGATAGTGACAGAAACATCTTGAACTTCCGCTCCTCCCCTAAAGAAGATTTGAGTCCATGATGTTGATTGGATTGGTATGGTATTTTTTTTTAAGTGCTTCCTACATAAGCAGAACTATAGGGAGTATAAACAAAGTACACACCTGGCTGCTAGAAACTTAGTCTCTGTTAAGGAAATCAGATGAGATCTATGGCCTATGTCAGCCTATCTTAGCATCAGTTGCCTCTTTTTAAATATTTTTTCTGTCTCAAATGAGTACCATAGCATTCTAGTTGGGTGAAAACATGTTGACTCTGTTAAGGGAAACTACAGAACATGTTTACTATAGAATTCATGTGGCTCTCAAAGCAAGTCTCTGAGTGCCTTCAGAGCAGCAGCTATGGGTGAGGGGGAGCTTCAGGAATGCCCATTCTGCCTGTATCAGCAACCCTTGCTTTGGCATTCAGCAAATGGCCCATCAGCCTCAGTTTGCCCTTGGTCATCACAGCAAGGTCATGTAGTTTTCCTTCTTAAAGAATAATTGATAATCAAATCATGTCATGAGAGGATACATAGATAACACAGAAGGCTTATGGAAAAGAGAACAAGTGACTCTTGAGGCTGAGAAACCCTAGAATTTCCTATTGAAGAGTCTCACTAGCAGATTTACTTTCAAATATGAATAATTATATGACTACCTTCAAAATGTGGTCACCATTTCCCTTCATGTTATTAAATGTCTTCTTTTTCTTCTGGTCAGAAATAGAGATGTTGGTTGATGACCCCAGGGACCTGGAGCCGATGAATGAGGAATCTCTGGAAGTCAGCCCAGACATGTGCATTTACATCACAGAGGACATGCTCATGTCAAGGAAGCTGAATGGACACTCTGGTGAGCTCTTATGGCCAGTTCTTTCCCTGAGGCAGTAGATTATTTTAGACCAAAAAGCATATGTCTCAGAAAATAGAAGGGGCAGGTGGGAGCTCTAGATCAGAGGCAGGACTGGAAAAGAGCTGCTTTAAGTCACTGTCCTCAACTTCAGGGCCAATTGCCCTCTGTGGGAGAAAGGAGGAAATTAGCTTCTTCTATCCCATGATTTAGACAAAAGGTAGTTGTATAATGGGTTTTCTTTCTTTATTTTATTTTATTTTGCTATTTTAAGTTAGAGTCAGAGAATCATGTAATGCCTCTGGAATGGGCCTGGAGACCTTTCAGTCTGGCCTCCTACATTCTTACAGGTGAGAAAACCTGTAGATTTAGAGAGACGAGTGCTTCATGTCTAGACACAGAAGTCAGGCCTCTAGGTTTGCCTTGTCTTATGTTCCCCACTGTATCATACAAGTAGAGGAGTCTGGAGGAAAAAACATACCAAACAGGGTTGACCTAAAAAGATACTCTTAAGTTTTATATTGGTATAAATTCTTCTAGAAGACATGCATTCACTGTCACCCTATTTTAGGATTACATAATAGTATATAAAATGTATGTTTCTACCATATGAAAGATACTATCTTAAAAAGGCAGCAGTGTGGCTTTCATTTTTAAACCTCAGTTGCTTCTATTTGCTTTTGTCACATGTCGTGAATTAGTCTCTGTTCTTTCAGGATATCTGCCTTAGGAGCCAGCACTGTAGAAGTGGCCTGAGTAATTATTGTCCTGCCACTTCCAGCTTTGATGGAGTTTAAAGCCCTGTTAAAACTAGGGTGTGGCCTGTCATTGCCCTGTCAGCTCCTCAGCCCCAGGGCAATGCTTGAGCCTCTCATCAGTGTCAGGCACCAAAAATCAGAGGGCAACAGACTGATGCATACAGCCCCATCATCCTGGCACTTGCTGTGCAAAAATATAGGGCACCTTTAATTACCTTTAATTTACTTACGAGAAACCATGCCCTGCAGACGCTCTGCAGGTCCATTCTCCCTTACCAACAGACATTTGATGCTGGTCCCTGTAGATGTGCTTATTAGTTCATATGCTAAACTTTGCTTCTTTTGCCCATTTGCTTTACTATATTGAACTTTCTCTTCACAAATACATTCTAATATATGTTAAGTATAAGCTCACAATTATAGGCAAAAGATAGGTTCATAGGTAGCTCTACATATATTTATTTGTGAAATGAAATAATTTAAAACAGTGTATACTGCAGGGCCTGTGGGAAGGAGGACAGGGGACAAGGGACAGCCTACTTGTACTTTGTATATTTCTATGTTCAACTTTTTTAAGGTTGTTAATTTTGTAATTTAAGTAGAAATAAAATTTAAATAGGATGGCTGTTTTAAAAAATTATACACAAAAAAGTTTGTTGAAATGTTACTTGTAATACCAAAAAAAAAGAAAAGAACAATAAATGGTTAAATTATACTCTTAAGAATGTCATCCAGCCTTACATATGAGATTTTCAAAGAATATTTAATAACATAAGAAAGATAGGTAAGGAAAATAGTACAAATTATATAAAAGTATGATCTAATTTTTAAAAAATGTTTATATAAAAAAAGAAAATACATAAAAATATTTACCTTTTCTCTGTATGATAGGATTATGGGTGACTTTTTTCCAAATTCTCTACAATGTGAGCATGTAAACATTATTTTTAAAACACTGAGCTAAGGTTGAGTAGGAATGAAGGATACAACTCTGCCCTTCTTTTTTAAGAAGTGTAATGGTAGGTCAGAGTTTTGAGCATCTGGCTTGATTCTGACTTTTTTTTTTTTTTTTTTTTTGTGGTGAGTGTGGGCTTTGGAGAAGAGTATTTGCAGGCATGATAGCCAAGGATACATTTAAATTCACAAGGAACCATACCATGTGCCAGCCCAAGTCAACACATTCCTGTAAGGATTTGTTTAAAGGTTTAGGGCTCTTTACAAGATAAGTGTCTTTCTCAAGAAAGCCTCTACAAAAGCAGTGTGTACCAACCCTTAGAACATGAGCCTCACCTGAGAGTTCTTAAACTGCCCACATGTTTGCCAGGAATGTTTTTACATTTCATGTTTCAGTTGAATTGATTATTGAATCCTCACTGTGCACAAGGCATCTGCTGAGCTCTGAATCATTGAGATATTTCTGAAACCTTAAGGAATAGAATACAAAGAGCCATTTCTATAGGCTACTGGCATTGGTTGAATAAAAATCCCATTTCTTGAGATTCTTTCTTTGTGAGGTTGGGTGTACTTTTCCTAAGCCATTTGGCCTTGTTGGAGGATCTAGGGCTTGACCTACTCATTTTCTTTACCTGTCTCACTGGTGTTCATTTACATCTCCAGTTCTTGTCAGTAATTTTAGCTTCTGAAACTTTTTTTTCCCCCTCAGGGTACTTTACTTACATTCCACAGTCATAAAGGGAAATGTCAGCCCTGGGTTTCTGCTTCTGAAAATGTGTCAGATTTTCCCTGAGCACTGAGGTGATTGGGGGCTATGTTGATCTCAAAGACTGGCACAAAATCCTCACTGTGGCCTCCCACCTTGGTCTCTTCCTGGTGGGATCTGTAGCAGGAGATTTGTGCCACAGTGGCCTCATCAGCCAAGAAGAGCTCCTTACCCTTGTCACACATTCACTGTCAGGCATCAAAACCAACACTAGTAAACAGATGCTGCTATCAGCCCCAAGTTGTTAGAGGAGACTAAGACATGGGGAGACTCAGTCATTGGCCAGGATACACAGATACTTCATTATCTGGCCAGGTTTCAGCTCAGACCTGTCTGACTGCAAGACCAATCCCCACACCTAACGACAACTTTTCCAAGTGGAAGCAAACCTAGAAGGCCGCATCCTCTTCCCCAGGGGGAAGACTCAATGTTGGTGATATGTGGAGGAGGGAGAGGCTTCATGAGATTTCACAGAGACCACTTTATACCTGCATCTTTGTCTGTTTCTGTTGTTGTCATAAATAGCTTATTTAGAAGTTTATTTTAGAAAATTCTAACTCTAAACTTCTTTCTCTATTCTAGCCCCACTTTTATGCGCTACCCTCTTTTCCTGCAAAAGCATATGTGCCACCAAAGAGTCACAGCGAGGGTCCTCAGTAATGATTGCTATTGGATTTTTCTTTCCTAGTAGTAGCATGTGTCAGAATAGAGTTATGAATAATCTGAAATATTCATTGTTTTCTTCTCTGTATTTTACCTCAGGGTTGATTGTGAAAGAAATTGGTTCTTCCACATCCAGCTCTTCAGAAACAGTTGTCAAACTTCGTGGCCAGAGTACTGATTCTCTTCCACAGGTATAAAAGGAATTCAAAATTTTAAATTAGCAACTGGAATTTGAGAAAATTTTAATCAGGAACTATTTATATTTACATAAATGAGCAAGAAATTAACCCAAGGAGATGATTCTTTTCAGATACATACGTTCTTGTTTTATTCTGAATTTATTTTCATCCTGTTAGTTCCACTTATTTTTAAGGTGGTTTTATTTTCATAAATTGCATATTTTTAAGATGGTTTTTAGTTTCATAAATTGCATACTCTCTATAGGTGGAAGTCTATGGTCTTCAAGCCTCAGGTTAACTGTGTGTGTGTATGTGCACAGGCATGGTGCATGTGTCTGTGTGGGCAGTAGATTTCAGAAAACCTGAGGGAATAATATTTTTGTTGGGTGTTTTGTGGCAGAAATGTTTCCACACTCTAGTTATTGCATTAAGATTGAATTTTTAAAGTACACTGAACTAGAGCATTTGACAACCTGTGATCACTGTTAAACTATTAAAATGTAAAAAGATATAATAAAAGTACTCTGAAACTTAGGGTTTCAGCATTTGGATTTAATCTGCCTGATACTGCTATTCTCTGAGCACTTGCTCCTCCTCCTATGCCTTTCTTACGCTCTCTATGTTGTGTATGTATGTATGTGTGCACTTTCTCTTTTCTTTATCTCTTCCTTCTTTTTTTCTTCCTTCCTTCCTTCTTTCTTTCTCTGGCATTTTGAGTCTCTTTATCCCCTGCTTCTTACCCCTTTCTTCTTTTTTTCTCATATTTCCTCTTATTTCCATCAAAGTAGCCATAATATAAAAATGACATTTATTAAATATTTTTCTGAAAATTCCAAGTCATTTTTACTACCCTCTTCTAGCAATGATTAATTGGAGTTCAAACTCAAGTTAGACTGTGTGGTTTGCAGCTTCACCACCCAGTGTTAACTCTTTTGTACAGAAAACTGTCCATGAGGCTCAGCTGAGAATCAGATATCACACCTACACATGTGAACATCACAGATACATGTGTGTGTGCCTGGAGGGCTTGTGGGGATGACCAAATGATCCTTTGTGTAAGATCCTGTTGGAGCCTGGGAAGACTGCATCATCACAGAGATCGTCCTGCACAAGTGGTACCACTCAGATGTGACGGCTTGGTAGCAAAATGTCCTGCAACTTTTACAGCAAGCAAAAGTGATACCTTGTTCTAGCAAGGCTTTCCTTTTTAGTATGGAGCAACAACAGTTAAAGATATGATGCATGGTTTTCTTAATCAGCCCATTAAGTATCTTCCATTCCCATAATTATCTGAACAATTTTTAAACGTATTTATGGGATAATGAGTTCCAAAATCTGCTACCTGCAGTAAAGGATTTGGCAAGACACAATTTCTGAGCATTCAGGAACAGCCTCTCAATCTTGGTACTGGCCTCTCAACCTTTTCAGCACCAAGAACACTCTATACTCTACCCAGGAATTTTGGCTTTTTAAAAACTCCTTCTTTGAATTGTGCTTCTTGATTGATAACTGTTTTGTTTTATTTTGTTTTGTTTTCTATTTCCTATTAAACTGATAACAGACCTCAGCACAAGAGTGTAGTTGTACTGAATTGCCATATCCTGGTGAGAAAAGCAAATAGTATTGTTATCTTTACAGCCTTAGTTTATGATAATTGTTTGATTTCTGAAATGCTGGGGATAGTTGGATTCTGTTGAGTTTGCATTTCTTTGCTTTGGGTTATTTATCTGTTGATCTTTTAATGGAGAGAATAATAACATTTGTCTTCTATAGCTATTGGGAAAATTAAATGGCTTAATACATGCTAAGTGTTTAAGTCAGACCTGACACATAGCAAGTGCTCAGTAAAAGTCGGCTGCTGTTGGTATCAGTGGTGATGGTGGTAGTAACATGTTTCCCTCACAGAGTCTCAGAGGCCCCAAATCTACTGATTGGAAACCACTTTCTAACATATAAGGATTATTTAGCTTTTTATGTCTTTGCACCATCTCTCTTTGCAGGGCAAACACGCTAACCTTTCATTTAGTCTAGACTCCTAAAGTAATCTCAACCTTCCCTTATTTTTCAGACTATATGTCGAAAACCAAAGACTTCCACCGACAGACATAGCTTGAGCCTTGATGACATCAGACTTTACCAGAAAGACTTCTTGCGAATTGCGGGTCTGTGTCAGGACACTGCTCAGAGCTACACCTTTGGGTGTGGTCATGAACTGGACGAGGAAGGCCTCTACTGCAACAGCTGCTTGGCTCAGCAGTGCGTCAACATCCAAGATGCTTTTCCAGTCAAGAGAACCAGCAAATATTTCTCTCTGGATCTTACTCATGATGAAGTTCCAGAGTTTGTGGTGTAAAGAACACCTGTGTGCAGCCAGATGGGCAGCCTGCTGTTTACCAGCGGCTGTGGAAGTCATGGGTTCTTTACATATTGTGCCATATTTCTTCACCCCAACCATAGCTCTTTCTTTATAATACTTTGATGGAAACAAAAGCCTTGGGACAATTGCACTTTAAGTATTATGCAGAGGTTAAGGAACTACAGAGAATGTACAGCAAGACAAGTGCCCAGAAGTTTATTGATCCTTTGGAAGGAAATGTGCTTTACAGGTTACCAGGCCTTCAGACTGTTGGACTGTGGTGTATTTGTTTATCTGTTGTTTTTTACTTCAGTAAATGTAACATTACAGTTTTTATCACATGAAAGATGTTAGGCTTATATGTTTGCTTGTAAAATTTTTTTTAAACCTCTCCCTCATAAAGTGCTCATGGTTTAAAGGAGGAGAGGGAGGGTTCTCTCTTCTTGTAATAGAGAGACCATTGCTGCCTCACTGAGGATGTCCCAACGTGAACACTAATGAAGTGGTCACAGTCGCATGGTTCTAGCAAGCCAAAGATATGTCCATAACAGAGGCACCCACACTGATAGTCAAGAAGACGTGAACTAAGCAATAACCAGAAGAGTGTGCACACTGCAATGCCTGTGACTCCTTCACACCTGATAAGTTTCACGTCCTCCTCTGTGCTCTTCCAGAAAGCTCTGGGATTCAGTTGAGTTCCTCCTTGGATTAACAGATGAGTTGTGCTCACAACATAATACATTTTGTGGCATTTACAAAGCTGGTGTCTGTTGAAACAATGGGAATGTCTCAGAAAACATACCTGGTGGTGTTCTGTTTGTTTTCACTTTTCAATTATCAAGAACAAGTGATGGTTATGCTAGTTTCTGCTTAACCAAAATACCCTAACTATATGTATATATTATACATATATAAATACATGGGATTATGTGTGTTTATATGTGTTTAAAGCTTACTAACTCTTCATTTTGGCTTCCATAACTATCTTGCATATATAAACTTCCTTGTTCAGTACTGAGGATACATCACTGAATGAATAGTACCTACAGACAATCAGATGATATATGTAGAGTTAAGAAGACTTTTTCCTCATGTGCCTTTGGCCATGATTCTCAACCCTGACTGCATAATAGAATAATTTGGGAAACTTTTAAAAAAACTAGCAATGTCTGGGTCCTAACCCAGACCAATTAAATCAGTCTCACATGGGTGGGACCCAGGTAGAATTTCCTTTTTCTTTAGGTTTTCCAGATGGAGCTAATATGAAACAGGGTTGAAAGCCACTGATCTGGAGGGTGTTTTTTTTTTTTTTTTTTTTTTTGTTAATTTTGAAGTAAAGGTGTACAGAAGAAGTTAGTAAACAAGAAAGGGCCATTTTTAAGACAGTGACTGTGTGCTGCTGTTATGATATATAATGAAACCAAGTCAGAAGGATAAACCTATCCACCTTTTGATGTACAATAAAAATGTTGTTGCTTGTGCTTCAGGAGAGAACTTCATAGCACAATGTCTTTCTATAGGATGTTTTTTAATGATTTAGTATTTTACAACATTTGTTTACCATATTTTGATAAACCATTTTTGCTATTTGCCAGGTTTTATTAAAAGAAAACTATATATTATTTTCTAAAGAAAGTCATATTTTTGTACAAAATTATGTTTTCAGGTAACAAAGAAATAGATTTAGGGGGACAATAGAATATAGCAGTGTTACTGTGGATGGGAGTCAGTATTAAAACTCATGACTGCAAACATGCCCCACCTATGCTGCCCTTCATGCAGGACACAGCAGCAAAAGAGCTCATCCAGTTTGTTTCACCTGACACTTTAAGAGGAAAACAAAAGTCCCGTATAGTCCTATGGTCATGAGATTATTTTGTTTTCATGAAATGCTTTCAAAGAACCAAAGTTTCAGATATCAGAATGTATAAAAGTATCTCAGTCTCTGTATAAAGAATAAAGAATGAAGAGATTGTTTAATGATTTTTATTTACAAGTCATTAAATAATCCACCATATCTTGTAGATGTTTAAAAGTCAAATCCTGGTCAAGTTTGTACTCTGAAGAACCTAGATCATAATGCGGTGCATTTCCTTAGCCCTTAATGTTTCTTGCAGATATTTTTTTTAAGTATTTAATTGAACAAGTAGCACCTTATACTTTTTTTCCTCTGCTTCAGCTAGAGTCAGACCTTCAGGGTTTTGCCAGCACTGTTGGTGGTTTTGCACACCCTCTTTCTAATTGGATTTGTGAATAGTCTTGTGGGTTTTCAAAAATGAGACATGCTAGGGAACATTTTTGCTTTTCGATCCACTGTTTGCAGCAGAATTATATATGTGTGTGTATATGAAAATCCACCTTGAATAATCTACATTTTTGTATTTGGAAATTGTTTTAAAAAATAAAAATGGAAAAATATAAAGCTATTATTTATTCTGCATTTGTTACATATCCATTGCTAGTAAATATACCAGTTTGGTATATACTGCCTCTAGACATCATCTACATTTGTATTTGCAACAATGAGCTTTATATCTACATAAACTGTAAATAATCCTTTCTGTGAAAGGATCATCATATCAGGATGATACCAAAAGTATGTAAAGAAACTGCATTATTTTGTAATTATTTCTTATAGGTGTTTCATGGTAAGATTAGTAGTCAATAAAGTTACTTTTTTGCCTTTAAAATGTCTTTTCTTATTAGAATTTCTCGAGCAAGAAGCATGAAGAAGTGCATGTTTTCTTTCTGTCTTTCTGTCCTATGATGGAACATATTAAAGGACAATCTAAAGGACCCTTGTGATAAAATTCCAAGCAACACAGTCCTGTTAGTGATGATGGTGGTAGCTGTCACCGGGCACCTCCATGGCCAGGCTCTGTTTGGATGTTCTATAACTGCATGTATTAACTCATTTAATCCTCATATTCCCACAAGACAGGTGCTATTTTTATTGTCAAGTTAGAGGGGAGGGAACCAAGGAGACTTTTCACAGTTTCTACCAAACAACGTGTGGAATAGAGCCCTCTGGCCAAACATGGAATCCAAGAAAAACTTTTTAGTGGGATGTTACTCAAGAATTTTGCAGAATAACTGATAAATTTAAGGAAATTGAAGTCAATGGAAGAAAATACCTGTTTAGCCACTCTGCATCTGATGCCACACACATCATGTCAAATCCTCCTTCCCAGGAGTTGTCACCCTCCTCCTCATTTCACAGTGGAGGAAACAGTTAAACTGCCCAAGATCCTACACCTGGTACAGCAGTTTTTCTACCAAAAGCTTTTTCCTTTGTATATACCATGTTATGCACTGCCCTTAGAGAAAGTCAGATCTGAATAGAGATGACAGACTCACTTTTGGTAGTGTTAATAAGTGAAATTTGTTTACTGATTTGGTGATTTTTTTTTTTTTTGGTTAAGCACCCATTACGTGCCAAGCAGAGAGGAGACTGATAGAGGCATTGCTTTGACACACAGAAGCAGTAAGGAGCTGGCAATGAGGAATGGAAGCCTGGAAGATATGGAGGTTTTACTGGAAAGGCCATCCTTGAATGGGGAGTGCTGGCAGGATGGGGTGAGATGTGCACCATTCAGGCAAAGGCTTAGAAGCAAGAGAACAATGGTCATTGGAGGACCTCGTGGGACCTCTTGCTTGAGTCATCACTCTAGCCTAGTCAGGAAAGGCCCTGGATGCCTAGAGAAGGGCAGTGAGTTGTTGTTTTGTTTTTCCTAGATAGCAAGGAGCCACTGAAGGGAGTTGTAAAAGAAAAAAGAACTGGGCTGGCAATGTAGCTCAGTGACACAGGGCTCGCCTGGCATGCAGGAGGCCCTGGGTTCCATCTCCAGTATCTCAAAAATAAATAAATGAAAAGGAGAAAGATTTGTGTTTGAGGTTTGAGAGAGAATGGGAGCAGTGCTTGTAGAAAGTTGGGAGGGGGCAATGGGAATAGAGATGGCCAGGGTCTAAAATAAGGGTGTGGTGGCAAGGAAGCAGAAGCCAAAAACTGTGATACACAAAGTTGTCCTTTCCTAAAATGCTTAACCAATAGGCAGTTTTCCTGTGCTTGGGAAGACTAGAGTTAGCTACTGCTTTAAATTATGAACTGAATACTCTGTATGAATACTTTGAATGTTAGAAATTGGCACAATGGCCACATCCACTTCAGTTCACAGCCACACTAGAATGACCTAGAAGGCATTAAACAGCAATACTTAGAGCATCGTAGCTCAGAGATTCTGACTGATTTGATCTGGGGTGTTTCTGCAGATGACACATGTACATAAGGGTTGCAGCCTATTGGTCTATATCTGAACCTGAGCATGGCAGGACAGCCAGGCTCTCTGCCTCCAAAATAGTGTGGGACATGTTTGGGTGGGTCTCCAGGCTGTCCAAATACACGCCATTTTGTGAGAATGGCATTGTTTTATCAATCAAGCTGTCAGAGAGTGAAACAAAAAAGTTCAAGTGAGGCACTGAACTCACCATTTCAGAAAATCTCAACACCCCCACATTCTAGAGAAGAGGGTGTTACATGCATATGACTATTGGACTAAATATGAGGGAGGAGGCTATGTAAGTAGAATAAAATATTTTAAAATCTCCCTGTCATTGTTTTATTTGCCTCATCATTTCTCAGATGTTTTGTACAAGTTGATCCCCACACAGAGGTATAATGAAAATAAGCTAAATCCAAACAGCCCTTTGATTCCGAACACTTGCATTTAGAGCTTAATGGAGGAGCCTGACCTCTGGAAAGTCCTGCTCAAATGCACTGAGCCATTGTAGGTGACGAAGTAATATACTCCCAAGAGATGAATCGAAGTCTATAAACATGGCACAGCTATAATTAACTAATTTGGTACTTAGGGTGGGTGTTTACCCATCTGGTGTCAACTTTAGTCAGCTGAGGTCTCCTCAATTTATTATTGTCATTACTTAAAGAGATGGATTTCCTAAGAACAAACAGTTCCCAACTTAGGGAGGAATTATGTTCCAAGTTTGCTTCTAAATTGGTTGTTTGACATTTAGAACACACATCTTCAAATTCCCTAAGTAGCCCACAAATGCCTATTTAACCCAGAGATATTATTAGAGCTAATTTTTTTCCTGTGCATTAGTAACCTATCTGTCAAAGAAAAGGCCCATGATATAAATGAGGTAGGTGGAGTAACCCAACAACCAGGTACAAGTATATCGGTAGCTCAATCTTCAGGTTTTACTTCTCATAGTTTCTCCATGCCAAACTATAATAAAAGTAGAGAAAGCATCAGGCGGGCCATGCCACGATGAAGTAGCCCCAAGCCAGCGTCCTCAACAACAAGGATTGCTTCTGCTGCTTCTCATCCACACCCCAGACCCCAGTCCACAGCTGCTCAAGGCTGCTGTGCCATCGTCAGAAAGTCAGCTAGATAAGACCTTCAACTTCTGATCCACAGTGGTGGGAGGAAGAGAGTAGTTCCAGCTTTAAGAAACGGAAGCTCCAGAATATTCTTAAACCTTTATCCCTGAACTGCACAGTAAGAGTAAGATACTGCAGAGGGAAGTCAAGGACCCCAATGGGAACCTTAAAATGCAATAATATGAACATGTAAGACCCTAATGTCCACTGGAGGATTTGAAAAAAAGCCTAAATAAATCAATAGACCATGTTCCTCAAAAGAAAGACACAATTGTGTAAATGTCAAATTTTCCCATCAGTTCCAACTAAAATTCCAAGTGAACTATTTCAGCCATGATGAAGCAATAAGGACTAGCTTTATCATCCAACCTTAAATAACTTTAAAAAACAAAACAAAGAAAATATGTATAAAAATGTTTTTAACACAGGCTCTGGTTAGCCTCTTCTGCCCAGTGGGACTGTGAAATTTGCTCTTCCACAATAGGGTTCTGCATGGCTGGTATAGGATTGGGTGGGAT